GACCCCTCCTCTACAACAGAGTGAGTCTCAGACCCCTCCTCTACAACAGAGTGAGTCTATGATCACTCCTCTACAACAGAGTGAGCCTCAGACCCCTCCACTACAACAGAGTGAGTCTCAGACCCCTCCACTACAACAGAGTGAGTCTCAGACCCCTCCGCTACAACAGAGTGAGTCTCAGACCCATCCTCTACAACAGAGTCTAAGACCCTCCTCTACAACAGAGTGAGTCTCAGACCCCTCCACTACAACAGAGTGGGTCTCAGACCCCTCCACTATAACAGAGTGAGTCTCAGACCCCTCCACTACAACAGAGTGAGTCTCAGACCCCTCCACTACAACAGAGTCTCAGACCCCTCTACAACAGAGTGAGTCTAAGACCCCTCCACTACAGCAGAGTGAGTCTCAGACCCCTCCTCTACAACAGAGTGAGTCTAAGACCCCTCCTCTACAACAGAGTGAGTCTCAGACCCCTCCTCTACAACCGAGTGAGTCTCAGACCCCTCCTCTACAACAGAGTGAGTCTCAGACCCCTCCACTACAACAGAGTGAGTCTCAGACCCCTCCACTACAACAGAGTGAGTCTCAGACCCCTCCTCTACAACAGAGTGAGTCTCAGACCCATCCTCTACAACATAGTCTAAGACCCCTCCTCTACAACAGAGTGAGTCTCAGACCCCTCCTCTACAACAGAGTGAGTCTCAGACCCCTCCTCTACAAGAGAGTGAGTCTCAGACCCCTCTACAACAGAGTGAGCCTCAGACCCCTCCTCTACAACAGAGTGAGTCTCAGACCCCTCCTCTATAACAGAGTCTCAGACCCCTCCTCTACAACAGTGAGTCTCAGACCCCTTCACTACAACAGAGTCTCAGACCCCTCCTCTACAACAGAGTGAGTCTCAGACCCCTCCTCTACAACAGAGTCTCAGACCCCTCCTCTACAACAGAGTGAGTCTCAGACCCCTCCACTACAATAGAGTGAGTCTCAGACCCCTCCACTACAACAGAGTGAGTCTCAGACCCCTCCTCTACAACAGAGTGAGTCTCAGACCCCTCCACTACAACAGAGTGAGTCTCAGACCACTCCTCTACAACAGAGTGAGTCTCAGACCCCTCCTCTACAACAGAGTGAGCCTCAGACCCCTCCTCTACAACAGAGTGAGCCTCAGACCCCTCCTCTACAACAGAGTCTAAGACCCTCCTCTACAACAGAGTGAGTCTCAGACCCCTCCACTACAACAGAGTGGGTCTCAGACCCCTCCACTATAACAGAGTGAGTCTCAGACCCCTCCACTACAACAGAGTGAGTCTCAGACCCTTCCACTACAACAGAGTCTCAGACCCCTCTACAACAGAGTGAGTCTAAGACCCCTCCACTACAGCAGAGTGAGTCTCAGACCCCTCCTCTACAACAGAGTGAGTCTCAGACCCCTCCACTACAATAGAGTGAGTCTCAGACCCCTCCACTACAACAGAGTGAGTCTCAGACCCCTCCTCTACAACAGAGTGAGTCTCAGACCCCTCCACTACAACAGAGTGAGTCTCAGACCACTCCTCTACAACAGAGTGAGTCTCAGACCCCTCCTCTACAACAGAGTGAGCCTCAGACCCCTCCTCTACAACAGAGTGAGTCTCAGACCCCTCCACTACAACAGAGTGAGTCTCAGACCACTCCTCTACAACAGAGTGAGTCTCAGACCCCTCCTCTACAACAGAGTGAGCCTCAGACCCCTCCTCTACAACAGAGTGAGCCTCAGACCCCTCCTCTACAACAGAGTCTCAGACCCCTCCTCTACAACAGTGAGTCTCAGACCCCTCCTCTACAACAGAGTGAGTCTCAGACCCCTCCACTACAACAGTGAGTCTAAGACCCCTCCTCTACAACAGAGTGAGTCTCAGACCCCTCCTCTACAACAGAGTGAGTCTCAGACCCCTCCTCTACAACAGAGTGGGTCTCAGAACCTTCTGTCCAAGAGGACGCATTGTGGTTTTCATACAATGCACCAGCCATGGTTTACCCACTGCTGGATAAAGGCCTCCCCGTGTCATCTGATATTTGTTTTATTTTACCAGGTAAGGCCCACTGAGTTATGTAGTTCTTATTCAGATGCGACCTGGCCACAAATGATAGCTCAACTAAGTGGCGTATCATGTAGAAATGTAGAGCGGTCAAATACTCTTGAACGCATGTTTCTAAATTTGGAGGGGAAAACCGGAGGACCCAAAGAAACTCCAAATATACAACAGGCATCGTCAGGGTCGGGATCGAAACCACGACCTCCTGCAGAGCAGGCGAGGTAGTCTCCATCCCCCATGATCCGGCACTGCCACGACCCACGTGGCGCTCGCGGGGAACAATCGGGGAGCGTCGCTTCTGTCTCTCTAAACGCGTTCCGTCATCCGGGCTGCCAACCGTCGCCAGTCACGGCCACTGGAACATCACGACGGCCGGCTGACGCGCGTCCCGCCCCTAATCCCTCAGAAACTCTTCCACCAACGTGTGACGCGACACACATACACACAGCAGCAGCAGCAACACACACACAGCAGCAGCACACACACACATACAGTGAGGGAAAAAAGTATTTGATCCCCTGCTGATTTTGTACATTTGCCCACTGACAAAGAAATAATCAGTCTATAATTTTAATGGTAGGTTTACTTGAACAGTGAGAGACAGAATAACAACAAAAAAATCCAGAAAAACGCATGTCAAAAATGTTATAAATTGATTTGCATTTTAATGAGGGAAATAAGTATTTGACCCCCTCTCAATCATAAAGATTTCTGGCTCCCAGGTGTCTTTTATACAGGTAACGAGCTGAGATTAGGAGCACACTCTTAAAGGAAGTGCTCCTAATCTCAGCTTGTTACCTGTATAAAAGACACCTGTCCACAGAAGCAATCAATCAGATTCCAAACTCTCCACCATGGCCAAGACCAAAGAGCTCTCCAAGGATGTCAGGGACAAGATTGTAGACCTACACAAGGCTGGAATGGGCTACAAGACCATTGCCAAGCAGTTTGGTGAGAAGGTGACAACAGTTGGAGCGATTATTCGCAAATGGAAGAAACACAAAAGAACTGTCAATCTCCCTCGGCCTGTGGCTCCATGCAAGATCTCACCTCGTGGAGTTGCAATGATCATGAGAACGGTGAGGAATCAGCCCAGAACTACATGGGAGGCTCTTGTCAATGATCTCAAGGCAGCTGGGACCAGTCACCAAGAAAACAATTGGTAACACTACGCCGTGAGGGACTGAAATCCTGCAGCGCCTGCAAGGTCCCCCTGCTCAAGAAAGAACATATACATGCCCGTCTGAAGTTTGCCAATGAACATCTGAATGATTAAAAAAACAACTGGGTGAAAGTGTTGCGGTCAGATGAGACCAAAATGGAGCTCTTTGGCATCAACTCAACTCGCCGTGTTTGGAGGAGGAATGCTGCCTATGACCCCAAGAACACCATCCCCACCGTCAAACATGGAGGTGGAAACATTATGCTTTGGGAGTGTTTTTCTGCTAAGGGGACAGGACGTCACCGCATCAAAGGGACGGTGGACGGGGCCATGTACCGTCAAATCTTGGGTGAGAACCTCCTTCCCTCAGCCAGGGCATTGAAAATGGGTCGTGGATGGGTATTCCAGCATGACAATGACCCAAAACACACGGCCAAGGCAACAAAGGAGTGGCTCAAGAAGAAGCACATTAAGGTCCTGGAGTGGCCTAGCCAGTCTCCAGACCTTAATCCCATAGAAAATCTGTGAAGGGAGCTGAAGGTTCGAGTTGCCAAACGTCAGCCTCGAAACCTAAATGACTTGGAGAAGATCTGCAAAGAGGAGTGGGACAAAATCCCTCCGGAGATGTGTGCAAACCTGGTGGCCAACTACAAGAAACGTCTGACCTCTGTGATTGCCAACAAGGGTTTTGCCACAAAGTACTAAGTCATGTTTTGCAGAGGGGTCAAATACTTATTTCCCTCATTAAAATGCAAATCAATTTATAACATTTTTGACATGCGTTTTCTGTATTTTTTTGTTGTTATTCTGTCTCTCACTGTTCAAATAAACCTACCATTAAAATAATAGACTGCTCATTTCTTTGTCAGTGGGCAAACGTACAAAATCAGCAGGGGATCAAATACTTTTTTCCCTCACTTTACACAGTAATGTTAACCTATGGGCAGTGTTAGTCTATGGGCAGTGGTGAGTCTATGGGCAGTGTGAGTCTATGGGCAGTTTTGAGTCTATCGGTAGTGTGAGTCTATGGGTAGTGTGAGTCCATGGGTAATGTGAGTCTATGGGTAGTGTTGAGTCTATGGGTAGTGTTAGTCTATGGGCAGTGTTAGTCTATGGGTAGTGTTGAGTCTATGGGTAGTGTGAGTCTATGGGTAGTGTGAGTCTATGCGTAGTGTTGAGTCTATGGGCAGTGTTGAGTCTATGGGTAGTGTTGAGTCTATGGGTAGTGTGAGTCTATGGGTAGTGTGAGTCTATGGGTAGTGTTGAGTCTATGGGCAGTGTTAGGTCTATGGGCAGTGTTAGTCTATGGGTAGTGTTAGTCTATGGGCAGTGTAAGTCTATGGGTAGTGTTAGTCTATGGGCAGTGTTAGTCTACGGCTAGTGTTGAGTCTATGGGTAGTGTGAGTCTATGGGTAGTTTTGAGTCTATGGGTAGTGTTTGTCTATGGGTAGTGGTGTGTATGTTGAACTTGTTTTCCACTGTACGTAGCCAACCACGCTAATCGGATGTGCGTGGGGGTGGGGGACAAACTAAACGCAACAACCAAGCGGTTCTAAAGAAATGAGTTTTCAAATGAGAAACTAAGATAGCTGGCCATCTTCACAATCTGTGGTGAACTCTGCTGTCCCATCCCACCGTGAGCCGCCAACCCCTAGTCAACAGCAGGGGCAGGGGGGTGCGGGGGAGAGAGGAGGGGGGACGTGACGCCGTTTCAGCGGAGGTCCGATGCCGTGAACGTTTTACACGGCGGCAGGACAGGCGGAGGAAATATCACTTTTTTATTTGTAAAAAGAAAACTCTTCACTCGGCGCACGGCAGTGGCGCTCCGAGAGCAAGGCCCACGCGGCGCCGGTGAGGACGCCCCGAGGAACGCGTCCATCTTCCCCAAACGCAACGACGACAGAAACCACAACAACCACGACAACGACAAAAAAATTGCACAGTTGATTGGTTCGAGCGCTTGCCAGCCCGACATCCACTGCAGGTGACCTTTAACCCCCACCGCAAGTCCGCGACACAGCCACAGCTAAACCTTGCCAAGACGTGGGACCACAGCACCTTGGGACTGACGCCCATCACCTTGGGACTGACGCCCAGCACCTTGGGACTGACGCCCAGCACCTTGGGACTGACGTCCAGCATCCTGCGACTGACACCCAGCACCCTCCGACTGACGTCCAGCACCCCGCGATGGATGCCTAGCAACCAGATATAACAACCCTGCAGGCAAGAAGGCACTATACAGCAACCAAGGCACCCAGGAGTCACGTCAAGATGCCCAGCGACTGACGGCTTGTGAACCGAGACGCACGGCACCACATCGCAGGAGGATCGGCAGGTAGTGGCGACGACCTGGGATACTTTAATCCAGCAGTGGACTGATCACTGCTGCTGCTGATGATGACTAAAAGTACAGAGTACTTATTCTGTGAGAGTCAATGGGTCTCGGTGCAAGTCTACGGGTCTCTGTGAGTTGACGGATCTCTGCACGAGTCTCTGCGAGTTGACAGATCTCTGTACGAGTCTATGAGTCTTATCCTCGGTTCTCTGGACGGACACCCGAGGCGTAGCCGGGCACCCCACTCAAGGTCGCTGTGCACAGCGACGCCAGGAGCGGTGCGGCGGGGCGACAACCCCCCTCAGTGCGCACCGTCCCGGCCGTCCCGACTGATGGCGCCGCCGGCGTTGGTGGTGGCGTCAGCAGGGCAGCTTCCTCTTTCCGTACGTCCTGGCGCCGGGGCTTCGGTGCCGCACGGACGACAGCTCAGCTGGCGGAGACCACTGGCTGCTGCTGCTGCTGGTGGTGGTGGTGGTGGCGCCATCTGCTGGGACGCATTCACGCTCGTCAGCTGCGCAAGACGGTCCTTCCCCCGCGCCTCCGAGTAGCACGGCTGGCTACGTACGGTGCGAAAGAGGTTCAACATACACACTGCCCATAGACTCAACACTACCCATAGATTCAACACTACCCAGACTCAACACTGCTCATAAACTAACGCTACCCATAGACTCAACACTACCCATAGATTCAACACTACCCAGACTCAACACTGTTCATAGACTAACGCTACCCATAGACTCAACACTGCCCATAGACTAACACTACCCATCGATTCAACACTACCCACAGACTCAACACTGCCAATAAACTAACGCTACCCATAGACTCAACACTGCTCATAGACTCAACACTACCCATAGACTCAACACTGCCCATACACTCAACAATGCCCAGACTCAACACTTTCCATAGACTCATTACTGCCCACAGACTCATCACTGCCCACAGACTCAACACTGCCCATAGACTCAACACTACCCATAGACTCAACACTGCCCACAGACTCAACACTGCCCACAGACTCAACACTGCCCATAGACTCAACAATGCCCAGAGACTCAACATTGCCAATAGACTCAACTGCACCTCCTATTAGCACAGTTGGCTATGTACGGTGCAAAATAAATTCAACATACCCCCCCCCCCCCCCCGTCCAATACTAACAGCCGCCATTCGCCACTAAGGGGAGGTGACGTCACCACGGGCCCTGCACCAGGTCAGGTGCCCCACCAACTCCCCCCCACCCCCAACACACAAGCGAGGAATGACACTTTGGTTTATCGAATAAATTTGGTTCGTAGACTCGCATAGCGACCCGAATACTGACAGAAACCCTTGGACTTTCACAAGAACACGAAGACTCACAGACTCGCATAGTGGTCCACAGACCCGGGTGTACAGCAACCTGAGATGCGGTGGGAAATAGGCCTCTATGTGCGAGTCTACGGTTCTCCGTGCGAGTCTACGGTTCTCAGTCTAAGCCTACGACGGGTCTCTGTGCGTGTCTTGAGATGCGGTCGCATGCAGGGGCGGGAGCTACGCAAGATACAGCTGTGTGCCCCCCTCCTTTCTTCTGACTCACTTTTCCTAAAACGGCTACAGCTGTTTTTAACCCCCGATATAGTAATAGGTGGGCCATAACCATATATAAATATTATTGTTCTTGTTTAAAAACAAACCCTAAGATTTTGATTTAAATCTTTCGTGACTGCAGGGATTCGTATTCTTGGTGCTTTCGGTAAAGTCACGTAGAATTTTATTGTTTTATATTTTTACTATTTTATTGTTTCCCTTCTACTTGACTTTACCAAAAGAACTAAGAATATAAACCCGAACATGTTTTGTTACTTTTGTTCATTCGGGGCCCTCCTTGTGGCCGACTGGGCCTCCTCCTATAACGCCGCCACATGCCACCACCACCCCCCGTAGTTGAGCCCCTGGTCGCACGGAGGCGCTGCCACATAAACGCACGCTCCAGTGCAGTGGCTCTCCTTCATCTGGGGTGCGTGCACCCCCTGGGGGTAGTGAAACTTGGCCAGATTGTTTGTAGATGGTAAATAATCGAAAACACAAATTTAGCACGGGTACATTAAGTACAACAACTTTGTTTCATAAAACCCTATGTATTTATTAACATAAAACATGTTTGTAACAAGTGACAACCCAAGGGATTCAAGGCTGCAGTAGAGGTTAAGAACTGCTGCTCTAGTACATCGGGTGCTTCCAAATGGGACAAAATGGGATGATCGTTTTTAATGGAAAAGAACGGATAATAAATACACCGTAAAATGATAGCAAATGTGATGTTAATAGCTTCAAAAAGTCAGAGTCTCCACTTGTTCGCCATCATTGTAAACACGTGCCTGGAATCTTCTCCAGGTGATCTCCAGAGCCCAGAGACAGCAGCACATTCATTGTGGTATTGTTGCAAATTCTCAGAAGTTTTTACGTTTTTTTGAAGCGCCCTGTATAATATTATCTACTGTTCCATTAGGTTTCAGGGTAAGGAGGAAGGGAGGGAGGGAGGGAGGGAGGGAGGGAGGAAGGGAGGGAGGGAGGGAGGGAGGGACCCCCTCCCGACTCCCCCCCCCGTGACTCACTGGGCTCCGTGGGAGGGGTGGAGGCGGCGCTCCCGAGTGGGGGACGGATGATGGGCGACTGCGTGAGCGCCAGGAGGCCGTGAGCCGACAGCTGCCGGTGTCTCCCTCCTGCCGGGACAATCATTTCACAAATCAGAATATTTATTCATACTGCAGGAGGAATCCGATGAGCTATGAAGCTCTTTTCACAGACTTCCAGTCGGGGCACGGGGTAAGAACCCCCCCAACCGCAAGTCCACGCCAGGACCACAGGTAAAGATTGCCGGGACCTCAGCAAGCGGGTGGGACATCCACGAGACGGTTAAATCCTGCAATCAATTCACCCAGCGCCCTGTGACCGACACCCAGCGCCCTGCGACCGACACCCGATACGCAATTACAAAATAAATTAATGAATGCGTATGTTTGTCGACATTAAATATACGGTAGAGCATCGATTACCTGGCAGCTTCGGGTGGGAGGGGACGCCAGATTTTCAAATAGCTTATTTTTGCACATTCTTGCATGACATTATGTTTGTTGGTGTTGTTTTTTTGTGTGTTTTAAATTTGTTTACTGTATGAAATTGGCATGAATATAAAAATACACAAAAATATCCTACTTTAAAAAGTTATTGTATTTACTGTAACGTACTCACTCCAATCGAGAAGACTCTGCATGGGGGTGATGGACATACGTGCAGTATTTTCATTGTTTAACTTGTATGTAATCTTTATTTGACGCTTTCATGACTGCAGGAATCCAAACTCTTTGGTTCTTTCGGTAAAGTCACCACGTGGTAGGTAGAAACATAACAGATCACGTGACGTTTCGATCGCAACACCAGCAATCGTCATCAGGTGGGACAACCACAGCAAGAAAAAACTGCTCAAGTAGGCGAGAGATCTGCCGTGGCACGAGGTTATATAAGGCCTTGGCAGTAGAGGGGGAGAGAGAAGGGGTGGGGAGGAGGCAGGGCAGATCGGAGAGAGATGCACAGAGAGAGAGAAAGACACACAAAGAGTCGGAAATAACAAGTGACATAGGCAGGTAGGACGGAAACATCAGAGTCAGTTAGGTAAAGTCGTGTTCTATTATTTTTCTAACTTGTATGTAGTGTATAATGTACTGTATATAATACTTTACACTAAAATCAAGCAAAGCTACTATTTCGTCACGTACACGGTGCCGATCTCCGGCCTGGTACAGCCTTTGGAGCGGTTTTGCCGGATCGGTCCGCGACCGCCGGATAATGTTGGAAGCCAGATAATGTTGGAAGCCGGATAATCACACACCAATGATCAACTGAGTGAGCGAGTGGACGTCAGCCCACGTAGCCCCCCCTCCCTCCCTCCCTCCCTCCCTCCCTCCCTCCCTCCCTCCCTCCCTCCCTCCCTCCCTCCCTCCCTCCCTCCCTCCCTCCCTCCCTCCCTCCCTCCCTCCCTCCCTCCCTCCCTCCCTCCCTCAGCAGGTGCAGGGCAACAACAACAACAACCAGTACCGCCCGCGGCTCGCCCTGACGCACTTCACAGCCGGAGACGACGCGCCGGCCATCAAGTCGGGGCCAGCAGCAGGCTGCCAAAAGCCCCGGGGAGTTGGCACCGCTGGTAGACTGCGTCGATTCGCTCGTCCACGGAATGGTATGTGCATGTAATATGACAGCGAATTAAACTGTCGTGAAGATAAGACAACGGGCCACCTCCTTTTTCGTAGGATCGACGGCTCCGACGCCCTGTCATGTGCAGAATCAAATTTTACCCGAACCAAAACCTATCGTAGACTAACCCTTAACCTTAGACTTAACCCTAACCTAACCTAACCTTCAATTTAACCTAACCTTAAATTTAACCTAACCCCAAACTAAACTCCCAATTAAACCTTCCCCTAAACTAACCCTAACCTTAAATATAACCGAATGTAACCCCAAACGAAACACTACATTAAACCTAATCCAACTGTAACCCTAACCTAACCTTAGCCTAACCCATCAACTGTTTTCCACGAGGCTGCTGCTGCTGCAATGGATGCTGCTGTTTTGGCCAAATTCCAATTCCCACAGCGTGGGACGGAGGGCGGAGGAGTGTCCCAGCATGGTGGGGTGGGCAGTGACCCAGACAGATTTCAGAATCCATCGGCGCCTCGGCCGTCCCCTGGCCAATTCGTGCCAAGAGCCTTCGAGCAGCCGGTCAAGCCCCTGGTCCCCGGGCGCCGGCCCTCCCGGCACCCACCTGCGGGGCTCGAGAAGACGTTGTCGTCGCTGCCGCCGGCACCGCCAGCGCTGGCGGTGGACGGGAAGGCGGCGCTCCCTCTCGGGGAGGACCGGCCCAGCTCCGTCTCCGAGCGCGGCCGCTTGGCCTCCTTCGTCGCCGCCGCCGGCACCGCAGCACCGCCGCCCTTCTCCTCCTCCTCCTCCTCTTCCACCGGGGAAGAGAGGCGGCAGCCGGCTCGCCTCTTCCTGGAGCCCAGGCCGAAGCCGGCGCCGCCGGAGCCGCTCCGCCGGGAGCCCAGACCGTACCCGGCACCGCCGCTCCACCGGGCTCCCCACGCCGCCTCCCTCGGCGGGGAGCAGTCGGGCAGCGCAAACACGCCGTCCACCTCCGCCGCGCCGAGCCCGCCGTCCCACGGCGCCAGCTTGAATCCGCCGGCGGCCGCGGCGGGAGAAGCGCCGCCGCCCGCCCGCTTCTTGCGGGGCCACCGCCGGATGGCGGGACTCTGCGCGGGCGACGCGGCGCTCACCGCGCCTGCGCTCTGCGGGGGCGTGGACGACGACGCAGGCGGCGTGAGCGTGTGGCAGATGCGAGTCTGCACGCGGCGCGGGCTCGGGGAGGCCGAGGCTCGGCGCGCGCGGCGCGACGGCGGCGTACGTTGATCCGCGGCCTCCACCGGCTGCTGGCGCGACGAGTGCCGGCTGCAGTGGCGGTGCGATGCGGCGGCGGCGGCGGCGGCGGCGGCGTCGCCGACCGGCGCCCGGTCCCGGCCGTCCTCGTTCAATTTCCACGAGCCGGCGCGCTTCAGCCGCAGCTTGAGCGGCCCCGAGCCCTGCGGCAGCAGCGCCGGCGGCGACGGTTCCACCTCGTACCGGCGTCGAGCGTCCTGCCGGGGGACACGAGCGGCAGGCGAACAACGCAGGTCACACGACCGCAATCGCCCGCGGTCAATCAACATTCAAAGGCTTCCCCAACCCCAAATCTGCCGCGTCGACTCGCGACCCTGCGAAGCAGCAATGCACAGGGCTGGCATCGGCGTACGGGAGCCCATTTCGCTAATCCGTCTCTGCGGGGGGGACATCCTCTTAGGCACGTGCTGTCCCTCAGATCGGAGTGCAATAACTACCAAGCATCGACACATTCGTTGATGTCATTGCCTACCTAAAAAATAATAGTTTACTGTAGTCCTTCTGTTAACAGTGACATATCGGTTAATGGTTTTTGTGGTGAACCTTTTGCCTCCCATAGGACTCCCCGTGGTTTCGACTGATGTTAACATGTTGCCTGACGGGACCGTGCTTACGTGATGCACGCGGGGCGCCAATTTCGGACAATCCCAGCGCTCATTGGTGGGGCTGAGCCATGGAACGGGTTAAAAACGTTAACCGAAGAAACTACCGTAGAAAATCGGCGACATTTCAGGCACCTGCCCTTATTCACAGTGCATAGGCCTCTCCACGTGCAGGTGGGCCGACAACGAAAATCATCTTGCTCACGACGGACCCTGGAATTCCTCCATCGGAGGTCCTGCATCGGTGGAAGGTTCGCACCCCAGGGTAGGCTTTCCCGGGTGAACAAGCGACAAGTGGGATACAACCAGCACCGGCGGCAGCACCGGCGGGGTACTTCGGAGTGCCACGGTGGCGAGATGTTAACTTCCTCGTCTGGTATACAAGAGGTCAGGGGTTCGCTCCCAACCCTGGAGTTTACACACTCTCTCCATGGTCGCGTGGATTTTTCTCCGGGTCTTCCAGTTTTTCCCTTCACATTTAAAATCAACATTACACGTTTAACGTATTTGGATACTATACATTTCGATTGTGGCCAGGTTGCTTCTGAAAAAAGAGCTATCGAGCTCAGTGGGCCTTACCTGGTAAAATACAAAATAAATTTCTAAATATATAAATAGGTTCAAAGAACCTACAGTGAGGGAAAAAAGTATTTGATACCCTACTGATTTTGTACGTTTGCCCACTGACGAAGAAATTATCAGTCTATAATTTTAATGGTAGGTTTATATGAACAGTGAGAGACAGAATAACAACAACAAAATCCAGAAAAACGCTTGTCAAAAATGTTATGAATTGATTTGCATTTTAATGAGGGAAATAAGTATTTGACACTCTCAATCAGAAAGATTTCTGGCTCCCAGGTGTCTTTTATACAGGTAACGAGCTGAGATTAGGAGCACACTCTTAAAGGGAGTGCTCCTAATCTCAGCTTGTTACCTGTATAAAAGACACCTGTCCACAGAAGCAATCAATCAGATTCCAAACTCTCCACCATGGCCAAGACCAAAGAGCTCTCCAAGGATGTCAGGGACAAGATTGTAGACCTACACAAGGCTGGAATGGGCTACAAGACCATTACCAAGCAGCTTGGTGAGAAGGTGACAACAGTTGGTGCGATTATTCGCAAATGTAAGAAACACAAAACAACTGTCAATCTCCCTCGCCCTGGGGCTTCAAGCAAGATCTCACCTCGTGGAGTTGCAATGATCATGAGAACGGTGAGGAATCAGCCCAGAACTACATGGGAGGATCTTGTCAATGATCTCAAGGCAGCTCGGACCATAGTCACCAAGAAAACAATTGGTAACACACTACGCCGTGAAGGACTGAAATCCTGCAGCACCCGCAAGGTCCCCCTACTCAAGAAAGCACATATACATGCCCGTCTGAAGTTTGCTAATGAACATCTGAATGATTCAGAGGACAACCGGGTGAAAGTGTTGTGGTCAGATGAGACCAAAATGGAGCTCTTTGGCATCAACTCAACTCGCCGTGTTTGGAGGAGGAATGCTGCCTATGACCCCAAGAACACCATCCCCACCGTCAAACATGGAAGTGGAAACATTATGCTTTGGGAGTGTTTTTCTGCTGAGGGGACAGGACAATTTCACCGCATCAAAGGGACGATGGACAGGGCCATGTAGCGTCAAATCTTGGGTGAGAACCTCCTTCCCTCAGCCAGGGCATTGAAAATGGGTCGTGGATGGGTATTCCAGCATGACAATGACCCAAAACACATGGCCAAGGCAACAAAGGAGTGGCTCAAGAAGAAGCACATTAAGGTCCTGGAATGGCCTAGCCAGTCTCCAGACCTTAATCCCATAGAAAATCTGTGGAGGGAGCTGAAGGTTCGAGTTGCCAAATGTCAGCCTCGAAACCTTAATGACTTGGAGAAGATCTGCAAAGAGGAGTGGGATAAAATCCCTCCTGAGATGTGTGCAAACCTGGTGGCCAACTACAAGAAAGTCTGACCTCTGTGATTGCCAACAAGGGTTTTGCCACCAGGTACTAAGTCATGTTTTGCAGAGGGGTCAAATACTTATTTCCCTCATTAAAATGCAAATCAATTTATAACATCTTGACATGCGTTTTTCTGGATTTTGTTGTTGCTATTCTGTCTCTTACTGTTCATATAAACCTACCATTAAAATTATAGACTGATCATTTCTTTGTCAGTGGGCAAACGTACAAAATCAGCAGGGGATCAAATACTTTTTTCCCTCGCTGTATCTACGTGACTTTACTGAAAGATCCAAAGAATATGAATTCCTGCAGTCACGAAAGCTTTAAGTCAAGACGAAATAAACAGTTTAGTAAAACGGTAAACCCAAGGACGAGCGCGTCTCTACCTTGGTGGCGCTTGGGTGCCAGGCGCCAGCGGCCACCGCCGCCGGCGAAGACTGCAAGGCCTCGGCGCGCCGCTGCCTCCGGTCCACCGTGAGCCGCAGGGAGTAGCTGCGGCCGGGGGTAAGAAGCAACGGCTGCGTCGACGCCAGCGGCGGCTCCAGCAAGGTCTCCGCCGGCGCCCTGCCGGTGCCCATCGGCTTTCGGCGCAGGCGCACGCCCACGCCTTCTCGATTGCCGCGCGGCGACGCCAGCTCCCACTCGGGTGACGTGAGGCTCCCGGCACCGGCGGGCGACGAGGAGAAAACCGTCCTCTCGTTCAACGAGTCCTCATCCTCCACATCCTCCTCGCTCCATCTCTCGCCTCCCACAGAGTTTCTGGAAGTGAAACCATCCGGCTCCTGGCCACGTTCTCCCGCACCCGTTTCCGCTGCTCCCCGGTCGGCCGAGCCGCTCCTCCTGCTGTCTCCACGCGCTGTCGCCACGCGGCCTCCTGTGCCGGTGGCCCCTCCGCTCGGGCACCTCCTGCGAGACCTCCTGGGAGACCTCATGGGAGACCTCCTGGGAGACCTCCTGGGAGACCTCCTGGGAGACCTCCTGATCTCCGGTGCTGGCGCCCGTGACGCCATCCCAACTCCATGCTCCGGCACGCGTGGAGGCGTCAACGGCGATTCCCGCGAGCCCTTTGCAAGCGTCTTGCCAGCGGTGGCGGCGCCAGCGTCGCCTCTGAGCGGCGCTGGCGGTCGTTCCTTTGGCGTCTTCGGCACGGGCCTCTCGTCGCGCGCCTCTCCGACTCCGCCGGGGAACTCCGGCGGAAGCGCCGGCTGCCTCTTGGCCGGGGTCATCAGGGGCGAGCGCAGCAGGTCCGAGCACTCGCTGCGCGTCCGTGGCAAACACCGAGCCGGCGCACGTCTGCCGCCGCCGCCGGTCGCCGACGGCGGCGACGTTGCCGACGTGTCCGTTCCCCTGGGAGACTGGCGTGGACGCGTCCAGGAGACGACGCCGTGCTCCATCGACATGGCGCGAGGGGTGCGTGGGGTGCGTGGGGTGCGAGGGGTGAGAGGGGTCCTCGCCACGTGCCCCGCACCAGGGGTCTCGGGGGTTCCAGGAACGCGGTCCCTGCGAGGAGTCTGGAGCGTGGGGGCTAGGCGGGGCAATCTCTCAGAGGACACGGGAGTCCCGGGGGTCCCAGGCGTCCCCGGCGTACAGGGGATGCCTCGCGAGAACCTGGGGCTGCGGCGGGGCGGCGTGCCGCCGTCGGCGCGCTCCGGCGCCCGCTCCGGCGTGCGGGGACCGCGTGACCGTGGCGGCTCCGTCGTCGTCGTCGTCGTCGTCGTCGTCGAGCTCGATTCGAACCGCACTTTGGAGGGAGTCCGGCGCACGCGCCGGCTCCTGGCGCCACTGGCGCGCGGGAGGCCGGAGGGGGCGGCGGACGGCCGCGGCGGAGGGGAAAAGGGCAGCCTGGTTGTGGTGGCGGCGGGCGCGCTGGTGCTCGAGGGGGCGAAGAGGCGGCGCGACAGCTTGGAGGGGTTGTGCACGTGGCCCGAGAGGGCGCCGGCGCCGTCCTGCGGAAAGCGCTGGCCACGCGGCACGAGCGGACGGAGACCGGAGGGGGGGGGGGGTACAGAAGCGGCGTTCCGGTGAGAGCGCTGCTTCATCACGTCACCGTGGCGCCGTATACTCGGCACCACGCCCGGCCACCTTTGTCTCTCCAATGCTGATGTGGGTTGGCTACATACGGTACGAAAGATACTCAACGTACATAAACACGTATACACCGCACCAGGTCCTCATTTAAGGCAGAGTCAATCTAGATCGGTGTTGGTTGTGAGCGGGAATGGAACTCGGGTCGCCGGGCTCAGCTCCTTCGTCCCGCACCTCCGATTAGCACGGTTGGCTACATAGGGTGTGAAACAAGTTCAACGCCTACATACGTATAATAACGTCACTATGGAGCGGTTTAAAAAAACGAAGGTTCATGGGCCCAATAGCAGATATTGGCACCAAATCAAGTAGCCAAACATTGGTCCAACCAATGTATTGACATGACGGGTGAATTATTTGATAGCTCCACTCATTTCAAATGGGTATCACGCACTTCACTTATTGTCGGTCACACGAAGAAACCGCAACCGCATTGAGCGATGCCACCCCAGGTTTTACCGACGAGCGGGGCGCCTGCCCTGGGCTCATCGACTTCCTGTGGTGCTACCACAGCGGCGACCAAGGCATCGCGACGCGCCACAGCTGAAGCTCACGGCGCCACCTCTGGCCCATCGCGCCGGACCTCCCACCCCCATCCCGCCCCCGCGGCCTCACCCGCTGGAAGGCCCCGCTGGCGAGATGCCGGGGCGGCCGTAGGTCGGAGGCGATGGTGTCGGGGCTCTGCTGGGCCGCTGCAAACAGCAGCTTGTGTGGAGACGGAGCTGTGGAGGAGGCGGCGGCCTTACGCGGCGACGTGGAGCGGTCTGAAAATCACAGGCGGCACGCGCAGACGCGGCACGCTCAGACGCGGCACACGCAGACGTGACACACGCTCAGACGCGGCAGACGTGACACGCTCAGACGTGACACGCTCAGACGTGACACACGCAGACGTGACACACGCAGACGTGACACACGCAGACGTGACACGCTCAGACGTGACACGCTCAGACGTGACACACGCAGACGTGACACACGCAGACGTGACACACGCAGACGCGGCACACGCAGACATGACAAGCTCAGACGTGACACGCTCAGACGTGACACGCTCAGACGTGACACACGCAGACGTGACACACGCAGACGCGGCAGACATGACAAGCTCAGACATGACAAGCTCAGACATGACAAGCTCAGACGCGGCACGCTCAGACGCGACAGACGTGACACACGCAGACGTGACACACGCAGACGTGGCAGACGTGACACACGCAGACATGACACACGAAGACATGACACGCTCAGACGCGACAGACATGACACACGCAGACGTGACACACGCAGACGTGACACACGCGGCGCTCTGAGACGTGGCACATGCAGACGCAGCACGGGTTTCCTCCGGGTTCTCTGGTTCCGTCCCACAGCTAAACCCACACACACACAGTGCAACCGGTATTGGACAAAACATCCCCATGCTGACAAATGTCCTGAAAATTACTCAATTGAGATCACACGCAACAGCAGCAGCAACATCGCCTCCTAAGTGTGAAAACCTGGCAAAAAACCCGCGTCAAAAAGAGTCCGGATTTGTGAATAAACGAGCATAATGACAATAACAATCTCAAGATGCTGATGCCCGTTTGGCAACCGTTGTTTGTATTGTTACTTTTAGTCGCCAAGAGGAATTCGTGGCAGGACAGCAGGAGGGAGGCGGTGGCGCCTTTTGCGAATCCTCCTCATCCAGCAGCGGATTAACCACGGCTGACGACGACGCCGACGGGCAGTTGCCGTAACCCCCGACCCCTACCCACCTCTGCCGGCCTGGCTGCCCTGCGTCGCGGCGGCCTCCTGCGTTGAGACGGAGGCGGCGGCGCGAGAGAGGGGCTGAGACGCGGCGTAGAAGGAGGAGCGACGCGAGTGGAGCCGGGGGCTACGCCGCACGTCCTGGGTCCCCGCGGCTGCACCCGCGGGCACCGCAGAGCACACCCAGGGTCGTCGTCGTCATCACGGTCATCATCGTCAACGCTATCGTCATCAGCAACACCATCGTCATCGCGATCATCATCGTCAACACCGTCATCGCCGTCAACGCCATCACCAGCAACAAGATCGTCATCGCGATCATCATCGTCAACACCGTCAACGTCGTCAACGCCATCACCAGCAACAAGATCATCATCGTCAACACCATCATCGCCGTCAATGCTATCACCAGCAACAAGATCGTCATCGCGATCATCATCGTCAACACCATCATCGTCGTCAACGCCATCACCAGCAACAAGATCGTCATCGCGATCATCATCGTCAACACCGTCATCGTCGTCAACGCCATCACCAGCAACAAGATCGTCATCACGATCATCATCGTCAACACCATCATCGCCGTCAATGCCATCACCAGCAACAAGATCGTCATCACGATCATCATCGTCAACACCATCATCGCCGTCAATGCCATCACCAGCAACAAGATCGTCATCACGATCATCGTCAACACCATCATCGCCGTCAACGCCATCACCAGCAACAAGATCGTCATCGCGATCATCATCGTCAACACCATCAACGTCGTCAACGCCATCACCAGCAACAAGATCGTCATCACGATCATCATCGTCAACACCATCATCGCCGTCAATGCTATCACCAGCAACAAGATCGTCATCGCGATCATCATCGTCAACACCATCATCGTCGTCAACGCCATCACCAGCAACAAGATCGTCATCACGATCATCATCGTCAACACCATCATCGCCGTCAATGCCATCACCAGCAACAAGATCGTCATCACGATCATCGTCAACACCATCATCGTCGTCAACGCCATCACCAGCAACAAGATCGTCATCACGATCATCATCGTCAACACCATCATCGCCGTCAATGCCATCACCAGCAACAAGATCGTCATCGCGATCATCATCGTCAACACCATCATCGCCGTCAATGCCATCACCAGCAACAAGATCGTCATCGCGATCATCATCGTCAACACCATCATCGCCGTCAATGACATCACCAGCAACAAGATCGTCACCACGATCATCATCGTCAACACCATCATCGTCGTCAACGCCATCACCAGCAACAAGATCGTCATCGCGATCATCATCGTCAACACCATCATCGCCGTCAATGACATCACCAGCAACAAGATCGTCACCACGATCATCATCGTCAACACCATCATCGTCGTCAACGCCATCACCAGCAACAAGATCGTCATCACGATCGTTGTCAACACCATCGTCATCATGATCTTCATCGTCAATGCCATCGTCTGTATTTCCTTTTCCCACAGTAACCGTGTAGCTGTCTCCACTGTAATTGTGTCATCTCCATGGTAACCGTGCCCATGTCTCCTTGGTAACCGTGTCCTCATTTCCTCAGTAGCTGTGCCCCCGTCGTTATAAACACCCGTTCAGAGTATTTGGTCGCAATGCATTTCCACGTGACAAGCCGCTCCATTTAGCTAGCATCTGTGGCCAGGTCGCTTCTGAAAAAGAGCTATACAGCTCAGTAGGCCTTAACTGGTTAAATAATAAAAGTTGTGAAGAGTAAAATAATAATACCATTGTCATCAACATTGCCGTCAACACCACCATCATCATCATCAACACCATCGTCAACACCGTCATCGTCATTATCGCCATCACCAGTAACACGATCGTCATCACGATCATTGTCATCACCATCATCGTTATCGTCATCACCAGCAACACGATCGTCATCACTATCATCGTTGTCGTCAACATCATCGTCACCAGCAACACCATCATCATCACTATTATCGTCAACACCATCATCGTCGTCATTGTTGACATCAACATTCATCGTAAACACCTTTTACACCACCAACATAACCATCAACAACAACACCACCACATCATGACAACATCGCATCATGACGTATCAATCACCACCGCCACATTAACCATCACCACCACCACATTAACCATCACCACCACCACTACCACATTAACCATCACCACCAACACATTAACCATCACCACCGCCACATTAACCATCACCACCACCACGACCACATTAACCATCACCACCAACACATTAACCATCACCACCACAACCACATTAACCATCACCACATTAACCATCACCACCACCACTTTAACCATCATCACCACCACCGCCACATTAACCATCACCACCACATTAACCATCACCACCACATTAACCATCACTACATCAACCACCACCGCCAGCAGTAGCGGCATGGCCCCTGCGCGCACCTCGGTGGAGAGGCTTGCACGGAGACTCCTGCACCAGGGTGACGCTGGTGCCGTCGCACGCACCATACTCCCTACGCACACGCACACACAAAAACAAAGATCCCCGTATAGCCTTTACAGACTGTTGGGGCAAGTGCTGTTAGCGAGCACCTATGAAGCCTGGAACAGCACACGAGGGGGTTGGTGACCAGCCCCATGCCTGACCGCCTTTGTCTCCCCAGTGGTGATGTTTACACACCGCACCAAGTACTAATTTGAGGCTGAGTCGACCTAGGGGAGGCCCAGGACCGGTTCAGAAAATCGTCACTGGTGTTGGCCATGAGCAGGAATGGAATTCGGGGTTTAAACTAAACTATGTTTTAACATGTAGGCTTTCGCGACCAATATCATCCATAACAGGGGGTTTTTTTTGGGTTAGATCGCGTAATTTGTCTGGCTGTCGCCTGACGAAGCTAGTTGTAATTACTGGCGAAACGTCGTACTCAGATTGTGAATGTTGTGGCCTGGATCTCAAACACACCGGTTAGTGCTGTACTAGTGACGAATTGGCACGTTCTGTTTACGTGACAACCCTTACTAGTTGGCTATTAAACTGTTTTATTTGACCATATACAGCAGGCTTCAGGGTTTCGATCGAACCCACCGACTCCTGCATACCAGGCGAGGCAGTTAACATCTCGCCACCGAGGGTCATCGGGTTCAAAGCACGGTGCGCTAGCCATCGCTCCACAAACTCACGGACACGCGCCGCCATGGCTGTCTAACACGACGCACATGTTCGTCTCTGCACGCGTGAGTCTGATGATCACCTGACATCTGTTCCATGTTTAACCAAAGCGTGGTTTGAGTAGTTGCACCACGATCGGTCGAGGGGTAATTGTACTCATGCCGAGTGGTCTGTGCTTTGCGTGAATGTTTTTTAGTTTTCTCACGCGACGCAGTTGCTTTTGTTTTAATTGCTATTTGCTTCATTGCCATAACTTCATCTGATTTTTTTCCTTTGTCGTTTTTGAGACTTATCCTGGTCTCTTAAGATCACACCTGTCAGTCTCTAAGCGAGCCTGTGGGTCTCTACGCGAGTCTGTGGGTTTCTATGTGAGTCTCTACGTGAGTCTGTGGCTCTCTACGTGAGTCTCTACACGAGTCTGTGGCTCTCTATGTGAGTCTGTGGGTCCCTACGTGAGTCTCTACGCGAGTCTGTGGCTCTCTACGCGAGTCTCTACACGAGTCTGTGGCTCTCTATGTGAGTCTCTACGTGAGTCTGTGGCTCTCTATGCGAGTCTGTGGGTCTCTACGTGAATCTCTCCGCGAGTCTGTAGGTCTCTATGTGAGTCTCTCCGCGAGTCTGTGGGTCTCTATGTGAGTCTGTAGGTCTCTATGTGAGGCCCTCCGCGAGTCTGTGGGTCTCTATGTGAGTCTGTGGGTCTCTATGCGAGTCTCTACGCGAGTCTGTGGGTTTCTATGCTAGTTTCTACGCCAGTCTGTAGGTCTCTACGTGAGTCTACGCGAGTCTGTGGGTCTCTATGTGAGTCTCTACGTGAGTCTGTGGGTCTCTACGTGAGTCTGTGGGTCTCTACGCGAGTCTGTGGGTTTCTATGTGAGTCTCTACGCGAGTCTGTGGGTCTCTACGCGAGTCTGTGGGTCTCTACGCGAGTCTGTGGGTTTCTATGCTAGTCTCTACGCGAGTCTGTGTGTCTCTACGTGAGTCTATGCGAGTCTGTGGGTCTCTATGTGAGTCTCTACGCGAGTCTGTGGGTTTCTATGCTAGTCTCTACGCGAGTCTGTGTGTCTCTACGTGAGTCTATGCGAGTCTGTGGGTCTCTATGTGAGTCTCTCCGCGAGTCTGTGGGTCTCTATGCGAGTCTGTGGGTCTCTACGTGAGTCTGTGGGTCTCTACGTGAGTCTACGCGAGTCTGTAGGTCTCTACGTGAGTCTCTACACGAGTCTGTGGGTCTCTATATGAGTCTCTACGCGAGTCTGTAGGTCTCTATGTGAGTCTCTCCGCGAGTCTGTGGGTCTCTATGCGAGTCTGTGGGTCTCTACGTGAGTCTACGCGAGTCTGTAGGTCTCTACGTGAGTCTCTACACGAGTCTGTAGGTCTCTATGTGAGTCTCTCCGCGAGTCTGTGGGTCTCTATGCGAGTCTGTGGGTCTCTACGTGAGACTCTATGCGAGTCTGTGGGTCTCTATGCGAGTCTGTGGGTCTCTACGCGAGTCTCTACGCGAGTCTGTGGGGCTCTACGCGAGTCTGTGGGTCTCTACGCGAGTCTGTGGGTCTCTATGGGAGTCTCTACTCGAGTCTGTGGGTCTCCGAGTCTGTGGGTCTCTATGTGAGTCTCTGCGCGAGTCTGTGGGTCTCCAAGTCTGTGGGTCTCTATGCGAGTCTGTGGGTCTCTACGCGAGTCTCTACGCGAGTCTGTGAGTCTCCACCCGAGTCTGTGGGTCTCTACGTGAGTCTCTGCGCGAGACTGTGGGTCTCTATGCGAGTCTCTACGTGATTCTCTACGCAAGTCTGTGGGTCTCTACGCGAGTCTCTACGCGAGGCTGTGGGTCTCTATGTGAGTCTGTGGGTCTACGAGTCTGTGGGTCTCTATGCGAGTCTCCATGCGAGTCTGTGGGTCTCCAAGTCTGTGGGTCTCTATGCGAGTCTCTACGCGAGTCTGTGGGTCTCTACATGAGTCTCTACGTGAGTCTGTGGGTCTCCGAGTCTGTGGGTCTCTATGCGAGTCTCTACGTGAGTCTCCACGCGAGTCTGTGGGTCTCTATGCGAGTCTCTACGCGAGACTATGGATCTTCTATGAGAGTCTCTACGTGAGTCTGTGAGTCTCTACATGATTCTCTACGTGAGTCTGTGGGTCTCTACGTGAGTCTGTGAGTCTCTATATGAGCCTCTACGCGAGTCTGTGGGTCTCCGAGTCTGTGGGTCTCTACGCGAGTCTCTACGCGAGTCTGTGGGTCTCTACGCGAGTCTCTACACGAGTCTGTGGGTCTCTACGCGAGTCTTGACACGAATCTGTGGGTTTCCGAGTCTCTACGCGAGTCTCTATTCGAGTCTGTGGGTCTCTATGCGAGTTTCTACGAGAGTCTGTGGGTCTCTACGCAAGTCTCTACACGAGTCTCTATGCGAGTATGTGGGTCTCTACGTGAGTCTCTACGTGAGTCTGTGGGTCTCTACGCGAGTCTCTACACGAGTCTGTGGGTCTCTACGCGAGTCTCTACACGAGTCTGTGGGTCTCTATGGGAGTCTCTACACGAGTCTGTGGGTCTCCGAGTCTGTGGGTCTCTATGTGAGTCTCTACGCGAGTCTGTGGGTCTCTATGGGAGTCTCTACACGAGTCTGTGGGTCTCCGAGTCTGTGGGTCTCTATGTGAGTCTCTGCGCGAGTCTGTGGGTCTCCAAGTCTGTGGGTCTCTATGCGAGTCTGTGGGTCTCTACGCGAGTCTCTACGCGAGTCTGTGAGTCTCCACCCGAGTCTGTGGGTCTCTACGTGAGTCTCTGCGCGAGACTGTGGGTCTCTATGCGAGTCTCTACGTGATTCTCTACGCAAGTCTGTGGGTCTCTACGCGAGTCTCTACGCGAGGCTGTGGGTCTCTATGTGAGTCTGTGGGTCTACGAGTCTGTGGGTCTCTATGCGAGTCTCCATGCGAGTCTGTGGGTCTCCAAGTCTGTGGGTCTCTATGCGAGTCTCTACGCGAGTCTGTGGGTCTCTACATGAGTCTCTACGTGAGTCTGTGGGTCTCCGAGTCTGTGGGTCTCTATGCGAGTCTCTACGTGAGTCTCCACGCGAGTCTGTGGGTCTCTATGCGAGTCTATACGCGAGACTATGGATCTTCTATGCGAGTCTCTACGTGAGTCTGTGAGTCTCTACATGATTCTCTACGTGAGTCTGTGGGTCTCTACGTGAGTCTGTGAGTCTCTATATGAGTCTCTACGCGAGTCTGTGGGTCTCCGAGTCTGTGGGTCTCTACGCGAGTCTCTACGCGAGTCTGTGGGTCTCTACGCGAGTCTCTACACGAGTCTGTGGGTCTCTACGCGAGTCTTGACACGAATCTGTGGGTTTCCGAGTCTCTACGCGAGTCTCTATTCGAGTCTGTGGGTCTCTATGCGAGTTTCTACGAGAGTCTGTGGGTCTCTACGCAAGTCTCTACACGAGTCTGTGGGTCTCTACACGAGTCTCTACGCGAGTCTGTGGGTCTCTACGTGAGTCTCTACGTGAGTCTGTGGGTCTCTACGCGAGTCTCTACACGAGTCTGTGGGTCTCTACGCGAGTCTCTACACGAGTCTGTGGGTCTCTACGTGAGTCTCTACGCGAGTCTGTGGGTCTCTATGTGAGTCTCTATGCGAGTATGTGGGTCTCTACGCGAGTCTCTACACGAGTCTGTGGGTCTCTACGCGAGTCTCTACACGAGTCTGTGGGTCTCTACGCGAGTCTCTACACGAGTCTGTGGGTCTCTACGTGAGTCTCTACGCGAGTCTGTGGGTCTCTATGTGAGTCTCTATGCGAGTATGTGGGTCTCTACGCGAGTCTCTACACGAGTCTGTGGGTCTCTACGCGAGTCTTGACACGAATCTGTGGGTTTCCGAGTCTCTACGCGAGTCTCTATTCGAGTCTGTGGGTCTCTACGTGAGTCTCTACGCGAGTCTGTGGGTCTTTATGTGAGTCTCTACGCGAGTCTGTGGGTCTCTACGCGAGTCTCTACGCGAGTCTGTGGGTCTCTGTGAGGCTGATGGAGCCCCGGGGGGTGATGCAGGGCGCCCACCTGCCCTTGACCTGCGCCTTGAGCAGCCGTTGGGAGCACTGCTTGTGCGACGGCGTCTCCGCCACCTGCCGTGTCAGCAGCTTCACAGCGCCTGCAGAGACAAAGATCCCCATGTAGCCTTAACAGGCTGTTGGGGCAAGTGCTATAAAACTAGAAACTATTATTATTTTACCAGGTAAGGCCCCATTGAGCTGCTAGGTAGCTCTTCTGCAGAAGTGACCTGGCTATGACTCAACGAAGTGGCTTTCCATGTGGAAATGTATAGCAGTCAAATACTCGAAACGTGTGATGTTGATTATTAATGTGGAGGGCAAAACCGGAGGACCTGGAGAAAAATCCACTCCATCACAGGGAGAGAGACATGCAGACTCCAAATATACAGCGTCAGGGTCGGGATTGAACCCACGACCTCCGGTCTACTGGAACGCCCCTTGCTTACCTTTCCTACACTTTGCACTCCTATCGTTTTTTAAATTTTTATTGTAACTTTCTGACCTGCCCTTATTGTGAAAAAGAGCTTCATAGTTAATCGGATTCATCCCGTCTAAATATTCTGATTCTGGTTACGAGGGGGTGGGTGGCCAAGCGCCACGCCCGGCCGCCTTTGGCAACCCAGTGGCGATGTTTTACACACGGCACCAGGTACTAAATTGAGGCTGAGTCGACCTAGGTAAGGCCCAGGAGCAGTTCATATAATCATCACCAGCGTCGGCCGTGAGCGGGAATCAAACTCGAGTCGCAGGGTTTGTAGCAAAGCGCGCCAACCACTACACTACGGCTCCCCCCACACACAGGGAAGCGCACACACGCACGCCCGCATGCATGCAGGCGGAGACGTGTCATTTGTTGAAGAGGTTCGTGGTTCTAATCCGGCAGGCCGCCCTAGTTATTACCGGGGGTATATCCGCAACGCTGGATTCCAGGCCACGTGCGTAGCCACCACTGCCAGGGCCTTTGAATCCTCTCTCTCGGAATGCGCGAGCGGTTTAGCAATCATTTTATTTACAGGCGTAGTCGCGCCCCGATGTTTTTAAAGACATTGTTATTCATCGCAGAAAATCGCAGCGACACAACCGCCACACTCTACGATAGTCAACGCCAAACTGTGCCACACGCCCTCCAGCTTGGCCTTATGGAAGCCGTTCCGATGGCGCACACGTGTACATCGGAATGGAATCGGAAGAAGAACTGATGACATACACCACGTACACCATCGCTACGGGAGAGGGGGTTTAGCTCTCATCCCAACCTTCTCCGATGTTCCTGGACTCCTCCCTCCACCAATCCCACGACCCCCTCAACTCACGCTTCTCAAACCTAACTTTAAGGAGCATAATGATTTGGGCTGCGGTTCTCTTCTTTCGAACTCTGCTGGCCGGTCAGGTTCAATCGCCCGCCCCGCTCAAAAAAGTTTAAATGTTAACGAACAATCGCGGTAGGCATCACCGGCGACGCGTACGTTACCTCTCGAGGAGCTAGAGCGTCCGTGCTGCTGCTGGGAGCGCGGCCGTTTGCGCCCCGGCGAGCCGAGCTCCCGGCTGAACAGACTCCTCCGCACCTTGGTGACATCTGGCGAGAGCGAGTGAGACGCGGCCACGTCAGCCTCGCCGTGGTGGGGGGAGGGGGAGGGGGAGGGAGCGGGGGTGGACAGCCGCATGGCAAACCACCCGCACCGGCGGTTCAGCTGAGCGTCATGATGAGGTGAACTGGGGATTAGTTAACGGGGGATTAGTGAACGGGTGATGAGTTGACAAAGGATTAGTTAAAACGGGGCTAAGTTCACGGGGGGATTAGTTAACGGGGGATTAGTTAACAGGGGATTAGTTAACGGGGGATTAGTTCATGGGGATTAGTGAATGGGGATTAGTGAATGGGGATTAGTTAACAGAGGATTAGTGAACGGTGGATGAGTTGACAAAGTATTAGTTAAAACGGGGCTAAGTTCACGGGGGGATTAGTTAACGGGGGATTACTTAACGGGGGATTAGTTAACGGGGGATTAGTTAACGGGGATTAGTTAACGGGGGATTAGTTAACGGGGGATTAGTTAATGGGGATTAGTTAATGGGGATTAGTGAATGGGGATTAGTTAACAGAGGATTAGTGAACGGGGGATGAGTTAACGGGGGATCAGTGGACGGGGGATGAGTTAACTAGGGATTAGTGAACAGGGGATTAGTAAACGGGTGATGAGTTTACCAAGTATTAGTTAACAGGGGATTAGTTAACAACGGAAGAGAGAGCGCTACTGATGAGGACAGCTCTTCACCTTCTGATGTCTCAGCCTTCGCTGCGTCCAGAGCGGTGGGGACCGGGACGGCTGAGACGGATGAGCCACTCCGGAGTGATCTCTCCTGCTCGCAAAGACGGGGACATCGCTCAGCACTCCGTCATCACCACAGTCAACACCAGAGTACCGTCACCACCAGCGTACCATCAACACCAGTGTACCGTCATTACCAGTGTACCGTCATTACCAGCGTACCGTCATCACCACAGTCAACACTAGCGTACCGTCACCACCAGCGTACCGTCAACACCAGCGTACCGTCATCACCAGCGTACCGTCAACACCAGCGTACCGTCAACACCAGCGTACCGTCATCACCACAGTCAACACCAGCGTACCGTCAACACCAGCGTACTGTCATCACCACAGTCAACACCAGCGTACCGTCATCACCAGCGTGCCGTCATCACCACAGTCAACACCAGCGTACCGTCAACACCAGCGTACTGTCATCACCACAGTCAACACCAGCGTACCGTCATCACCAGCGTGCCGTCATTACCACAGTCAACACCAGCGTACCGTCATCACCAGCGTACCATCAACACCAGCGTACCGTCATCACCAGTGTACCGTCATCACCACAGTCACTACCAGCGTACCGTCAACACCAGTGTACCGTCAACACCAGCGTACCGTCATCACCAGCGTGTCGTCATCACCAGCGTACCGTCATCACCAGCGTACCGTCATCACCAGCGTACCGTCAACACCAGCGTACCGTCATCACCACAGTCATCACCAGCGTACCGTCAACACCAGCGTGTCGTCATCACCAGCGTACCGTCATCACCAGCGTACCGTCAACACCAGCGTACCGTCATCACCAGCGTACCGTCAACACCAGCGTACCGTCAACACCAGCGTACCGTCAACACCAGCGTACCGTCATCACCAGCGTACCGTCAACACCAGCGTACCGTCATCACCACAGTCATCACCAGCGTACCGTCAACACCAGCGTACCGTCAACACCAGCGTACCGTCATCACCAGCGTGTCGTCATCACCAGCGTACCGTCATCACCAGCGTACCGTCATCACCAGCGTACCGTCAACACCAGCGTACCGTCATCACCAGCGTACCGTCATCACCACAGTCATCACCAGCGTACCGTCAACACCAGCGTACCGTCATCACCACAGTCACCACCAGCGTACCGTCATCACCAGCGTACCGTCAACACCAGCGTGCCGTCATCACCAGCGTACCGTCATCACCAGCGTACCGTCACCACCAGCGTACCGTCATCACCACAGTCAACACCAGTGTACCGTCAACACCAGCGTACCGTCATCACCACAGTCAACACCAGCGTACCGTCAACACCAGCGTACTGTCATCACCACAGTCAACACCAGCGTACCGTCATCACCAGCGTACCGTCATCACCACAGTCAACACCAGCGTACCGTCAACACCAGCGTACTGTCATCACCACAGTCAACACCAGCGTACCGTCATCACCAGCGTGCCGTCATTACCACAGTCAACACCAGCGTACCGTCATCACCAGCGTACCATCAACACCAGCGTACCGTCATCACCAGCGTACCGTCATCACCACAGTCACTACCAGCGTACCGTCAACACCAGCGTACCGTCATCACCACAGTCACCACCAGTGTACCGTCAACACCAGCGTACCGTCATCACCAGCGTGTCGTCATCACCAGCGTACCGTCATCACCAGCGTACCGTCAACACCAGCGTGTCGTCATCACCAGCGTACCGTCATCACCAGCGTACCGTCAACACCAGCGTACCGTCATCACCACAGTCATCACCAGCGTACCGTCAACACCAGCGTACCGTCAACACCAGCGTACCGTCATCACCAGCGTACCGTCAACACCAGCGTACCGTCATCACCACAGTCATCACCAGCGTACCGTCAACACCAGCGTACCGTCATCACCAGCGTGTCGTCATCACCAGCGTACCGTCATCACCAGCGTACCGTCATCACCAGCGTACCGTCAACACCAGCGTACCGTCATCACCACAGTCATCACCAGCGTACCGTCAACACCAGCGTACCGTCATCACCACAGTCACCACCAGCGTACCGTCATCACCAGCGTACCGTCAACACCAGCGTGCCGTCATCACCAGCGTACCGTCATCACCAGCGTACCGTCACCACCAGCGTACCGTCATCACCACAGTCAACACCAGCGTACCGTCAACACCAGCGTACTGTCATCACCACAGTCAACACCAGCGTACCGTCATCACCAGCGTGCCGTCATCACCACAGTCAACACCAGCGTACCGTCAACACCAGCGTACTGTCATCACCACAGTCAACACCAGCGTACCGTCATCACCAGCGTGCCGTCATTACCACAGTCAACACCAGCGTACCGTCATCACCAGCGTACCATCAACACCAGCGTACCGTCATCACCAGCGTACCGTCATCACCACAGTCACTACCAGCGTACCGTCAACACCAGCGTACCGTCATCACCACAGTCACCACCAGTGTACCGTCAACACCAGCGTACCGTCATCACCAGCGTGTCGTCATCACCAGCGTACCGTCATCACCAGCGGACCGTCAACACCAGCGTACCGTCATCACCAGCATACCGTCATCACCAGCGTACCGTCAACACCAGCGTACCGTCATCACCAGCGTACCGTCATCACCACAGTCATCACCAGCGTACCGTCAACACCAGCGTACCGTCAACACCAGCGTACCGTCAACACCAGCGTACCGTCATCACCAGCGTACCATCAACACCAGCGTGCCGTCATCACCAGCGTACCGTCATCACCAGCGTACCGTCACCACCAGCGTACCGTCATCACCACAGTCAACACCAGCGTACCGTCAACACCAGCGTACCATCATCACCAGTGTCATCACCAGGATTGTCGTCGTCATCAACATTGTTGTCAAAAGCACTGTCATCATCATCGTAATCATCATCACTACCATCATCATCCACATTGTCAACACCATCATCACAGTGCAACACAAATACAGGCGGTCCCTGTTTTTACGACGTTAAAATGTACGTGTGTGTTGAAGTTCTGTCGCACCGTACGTAGCCAACCGTGCCAGGTGATGATTGCGAGCTAGGTGATGATGGTGAGATGGGTGATAGTAATGATGGTGAGTAGGGTGATAATGGTGATGGTGAATAGGATGATGATGGTAAGGAGGGTAATGATGGTGAGTAGGGTGATGATGGTGGTAATGGTGAGGAGGGTGATGATGGTGAGTAGGGTGATGATGGTGGTGATGGCGAGTAGGGTGGTGATGGTGAGGAGGGTGATGATGGTGGTGATGGTGAGTAGGGCGGTGATGGTGAGGAGGGTGATGATGGTGGTGATGGTGAGTAGGGTGATGAGGGTGAGTAGGGTGTTGATGGTGGTGATGGCGAGTAGGGTGGTGATGGTGAGGAGGGTGATGATGGTGGCGATGGTGAGTAGGGCGGTGATGGTGACGAGGGTGATGATGGTAGTGATGGTGTGTAGGGCGGTGATGGTAAGAAGGGTGATGAGGGTGAGGAGGGTGAGTAGGGTGGTGATGGTGAGTAGGGCGGTGATGGTGAGGAGGGTGATGATGGTGGTGATAATGCCGTGATGGTGAGGAGGGTGATGATGGTGGTGATGGTGTGTAGGGTGAGGAGGGTAATGATGGTGGTGATGGCAAGTAGGGTGATGAGGGTGAGGAGGGTGATGATGGTGGTGATGGTGTGTAGGGCGGTGATGGTGACGAGGGTGATGATGGTGGTGATGGTGTGTAGGGCGGTGATGGTGAGTAGGGCGGTGATGGTGATGAGGGTGAGTAGGGTGATGAGGGTGAGGAGGGTGATGATGGTGGTGAGTAGGGTGATGAGGGTGAGGAGGGTGAGGAGGGTGAGGTGTCCAAGCGGGCGGTGCTCACCTTCCTCACCGCGCGGCTCGGCATCTCTATCTGGCGCCGGCTCTGCACCGCCTCGCACACGCTGGGGTGCCGCACCAGCGCCCGGCTGCTGCCACACCCACAGAGGAGGACCACAGTCGGCAAAGAGAGACAAAGATCCCTTCGCAGCCCCAACACACCGTGGGGTCAAGTGCCGTTAGCGGGCAAACCATGTGGGTGGGTGGCCAACACCGCCGGCGATGTTTTACACATCGCGCCAGGTACTGCATTTGAGGCCGAGTCGACCTAGGGGAGAGGCCCCCAGCACCGGTTCAGATAATCGTCACCTGTGTTGGTGGTCGTGAGCGGGAATCGAACCTGGGTGGCCGGGCTCGTAGCGCGGCGTGTGCTAACGTCCGCACAGCCGCTATGGACGCATTCGGTACCGCACACTCAACTCGCACGCGACTAAACAACCTCATATTGCCGTCGTCATCATCACCATCCACTCCGCTCCTTTACCCGGGACAACCTCACTGAGTCTCAAGACAATAATTTGCAAGCGATGGATTCTTCAGCGGTGGGACACGTTTGCGCCAATACTCCTTCCACCGACTTGCAGTGGCAAAATGTTAACTCCCTCGCCTGGTATGCAGGAGGCAGTGGGTTCCATTCCGACCCTGATGCCTGCTGCTGTATATTTGTAGTTTACATGTCTCTCTCTCTCTCCATGTGGTCACGTGGATTTTTCTCCATGTCTCCCGGTTTTTCCCTCCACATTTAGAATCAATGTCACGCGTTTAGAGTATTTGGCTGCTACTATAAATCTCCACGTGATGATGACATGCCACCTCATTGAGCTATAATTTGTGATAGTCGGGTCGCTTCTGAAAAGAGCTATATATCTCGGTGGGCCTTACCTGGCAAAGTAAAAAAAAAAAATTCGTTTAAGGGGTGGCCAGAACTGGAGGTGCGGGGGGGGGGGGGCGTCGCAATCAGGCACGGCCGAGAAAACTGGGAGATGCCGGCTCCTACCTGCGACTCCGGCGCTCGCCGATCTCGTTGCGGTGCGACGACACGGAAAGATTCCCGGCGCCACCGCCGCCGCCACTCGCCGGTGCCGTCGCTACTCCGTCATCGTCGTCCTCGTCCTCCTGCGAGGGCGAGTCCTCGCTGAAGAAGTCGTCCGGCAGGATCTCGCGGAGGCTGCGGGGGACATTCTGCCCCAGGTTGGAGTAGAGGGCTCCCAGCACCCTGGGGATGCGGCTCGCGAACCTGCGGGGGCGGGTCGGCAGTCGGCGGTGCCTTCTTTCACGGCGAGGACAAACTAAAACTTTTTTTTATTTACCAGGTAAGGCCCACTGAGCCACAGGAGTGGTTCTTAGACCCCTCCTTAAAATGCACGAGTCATGGTCTATCCGCTGCTGGATGAAGGCCTCTCTATACCATCGACTAAAATATATTTTTCATTTTATTTTACCAGGTGCGGCCCACCGAGCTATACAGCTCTTTTTCACAAGCAAACTGGCTATCACGAATGATAGTTCAACAAAAGTGGCTTATCATCAAGTAGAAATTAATTGCAGCCAATTGGACCGGAGGGCGACAGTTTATGAAACTGAGGGTTGGCGCTTTCCCACTGCTCAGACGAGCAGCGAGGCACCGGCGCTCATCTCCTGTTCACAGCCCTGCAGAGGCAGTGGTGGAATCCGTAGGACAACAGCCATCGACTTCCCCACAAAGTGGTACCTCTTATCGACCACAGAGAGATGATGGGCTAAGTCTCAACCCCCGACCAGGGTTTTAACTCGTGGACCTTTCCCATTGCGAGCTGCTCGCTCTTCCGCTGAGCCACTGGGATAGAATAGCCGCGGTGGCTAGGAGATGTTAACTACCTCACCTGATGTACAGAAACTCGTGGGTTCGACCCTGACGCCTGCTGCTGTATATTTGGAGTTTGTGTGTCTCTCTCTCTCCCTGTGGTCACGTGGATTTTTCTCCAGGTCCATCACGCGTTTGGAGTATTTGGCTGCTACTATCAATTTACACATGACAAGCCACTTTCATAATAGAGTGCGTATGTTCGTAAGTGTGGATGTTCCGAAGGACGGATGTTAGTAAGATCGGATATTCGTAAGCGCGGACGTTCCTAAGTGTGGATGTTCATAAGTGTGGATATCCGTAAGTGTGGATGTTCGTAAGTGTGGATGTTCGTAAGTGTGGATGTTCGTAAGTGCAGATATTCGTAAGTGGATATTCGTAAGTGCGGATGTCCGTAATTGTGGATATTCTAAAGTGCGGATATTCGTAAGTGCGAATGTTCGTAAGTGCGGATGTCCGTAAGTGTGGATATCCGTAAGTGCGGATGTTCGTAAGTGTGGTTGTTCGTAAGTGCGGATGTTAGTTCGTATCTCGGGGACTACCTATATACAGCTAATAGGAAGTTAATTGATGAGCCTCACTTCTTCATAATTCACTGATACTGACCACGTAAAGAAATTGGAACCAGTACTGGGCTATGTGCATGCATTTACTAAGACAAAGATCCCCCATATATTCTTAAACAGGGTGTTGGGGTTAAGCGCTGTTAGCCAGCACCTATGAAGGCCGGCACGACACACGAGGGGAGGGGCGGGGTCGCCAACCCCAAGCCCAGCCGCCTTTGTCTTCCCAGTGCTGATGTTTTAGATTATTTTGGTGCTATAAATGTCCAAATGATTGACCACTTAGTTCAGCTATCATTTGTCGCTTCTGAAAAACAAGTTAATATCTCACCAGGCTTTGCCTGGTAAGATTGGGATGGTTTAGTTTCATTTGGATGGGTTTGGGTGATATGTTTGCCTTTCCAGTACTTTGCACGACTATCGTGTTGTTTGTTGTTGTAACATTCTGACTTCGTGCCCCTAACTGGACACCTGTGAAAAAAAAAAGAGCTTCATAGCTTATCGGATTCCTCCTCCTGCTGCGGCATAAACCACGATTCTGATCCACGACAAGCGGGCCGCACCCGTCGCCGCCACGGCCGGAGACGATTCACCGGCGACCCCAGCCGGGGGTGCGACCGAACCCTCACCGATCCAGGACCTCCTCGCTCAGGAACTTGTTGAGGAAGCCAGGGTCCATCGTCAGCGAGATCGTTCTCAGCAAGTCGGTCACCTGCACGCGGTCGCACAACGTTCGTTAGGAGAGACGCGAGGCGCCCGTCGGTGAAGGCTTGGAAGGCGGGGGGCGGACTTCGCGCGGACCACACCGTTTCACCCCCTTTCTCCCGTCGCGATGGCGTCCAGCTAGTTGCAGGATGGTGGGGTGAGGTGGGTGTCCCCGTTCACCGCTGAATCTCGGAACGCGCCAGCGGATCGGCATTAATATTCATTTAAAGAGACGCATGCATGGCGCTGTTACTCAGCGCAGAGAACCGTAGCGACACGACCGCCGTCACTCGACAACAGCTGGCACCAAAACTGTGCCACACGTGCCCTCCTGCATGGCCTTGTGGAAGCCTCGGTACCGATGAAGTTATTTTAATAATTGTTTTTTTTTTACCCTTTTATCTGGCAACAAAACTGACACCTTTTTTACAAGGAGTCATGTTTACATTGACCACAATACCTGCGGTCGGAACGCAAACAAAAAATAACAACTCTGATAATGTATGTGGCACTGTCCTTGAAATTGATTGGTCCACACCCGAGACAGCTTTCTTTAGAGCCTCGTCTCACATGGTGTTGGACCAGAAGACGCCAAAAGGCGCACAACTCAAAGACAACGCACCATCAGAGTATGAGAGCTCGGGGTAAGCATTTACACCATTGGAAACCTCATTTGCCAGTAACAAAATATGATAATTGATTTTTTACCCTTTTATCTGGCAACAAAACTCCGAGCTCTCATACTCTGATGGTGCATTGTCTTTGAGTTGTGTGCCTATTGGCATCTTCTGGTCCAACACCATGTGAGACAAGGCTCTAAAGAAAGCTGTCTCGGGTGTGGACCAATCAATTTCAAGGACAGTGCCACATACATTATCAGAGTTGCTATTTTTTTGTTTGCGTTCCGACCGCAGGTATTCTGGTCAATGTAAACATGACTCCTTGTAAAAAAGGTGTCAGTTTTGTTGCTAGATAAAAGGGTAAAAAAAAATTATCATATTTTGTTACTGGCAAATGAGGTTTTCAATGAAGTTATTTTAGTTTTTCTTATGATTCTGTAAGACTCCTTGAAGGTGGCAGGGGATTGTAATAAAAACTGATGACGTACGCGTACGTCGCGGGAACGGGAAAGTGTTAAGTTAGAAATCACGATGAACGGCATCAATGCGGTAATCATCGTTCTCCAAAACAACGACACCACAAGTGAAGCCTTAGCTGGAGCCAATCCCTTGTGTACACAGGAGAGCCTCCCAGAGTGCCGTGAGTCTTTTCAGGGGGGACCTCTCAAGTCTTCTCAGGAGGGGAGCCACAACTGCTGTGCAGGTTACAATCATCCATAAGAGGTTTTGGGTTAAATCGCGTAAATATATAAATGTGTCGTTAAACCCGCTACCACCCGACACAGCGAACGAGTAAGGGTTGTCATGTTACCAGAACAATCCAATTCGTCACTAGTACAGCACACCCGTGTGTTGGAGAGCCAAGCCACAACATTCACGATGCTTCGCCAGTAATTACAACTAGCTTCATCAGGCGACAGCCAGATTTGTGGAGAAGTTCACCTATTGCGTTCCCAAAAAAGCTCTTATGGATGATATTGGTCGCGAAAGCCTACGTGTTAAAGGTTCCAATCAGAGTAATTTGCAGTGTAGGTTTTCACATTTTGGAGACTTACGCTAGTACACGGAGACTTACACTAGAACACAGAGACTTACGCTACAACACGGAGACTTCCGCTATAACATGAAGGCTTACGCTACAACACGCAGGTTTACACTACAACACGGAGGTTTACGCTACGGCACGGAGGCTTACGCTACAACACGGAGGCTTACACTCAACAAAGAGGCTTACACGAAAACACTGAGACTTACACTACAACACGTAGGCTTACGCAACGACACGGAGACTTACACTACAACACGGAGGCTTACACTACAACACGCAGGCTTACGCAACAACAAAGAGGCTTATGCTACAACACACAGGCTTACACTCAACAAAGAGGCTTACACTAAAACACAGGGGCTAACACTAAAACACGGAGACTTCCACTACAATATGGAGACTTACACTACAACACGGAGGCTTACACTACAACACGCAGGCTTATACTACAACACGGAGGCTTATACTACAACACGGAGGCTTACGCTACAACACGCAGGCTTACACTCAACAAAGAGGCTTACACTAAAACACAGGGGCTAACACTAAAACACTGAGGCTTACACTACAAAACGGAGGCTTACACTGCAACACGGAGGTGCGCCGTTACCTCGTCCACAATGTTGTCGTCGTCGCACTCGAGGGAGCGGAACTGCGCCTGCATTTCGAGGCGCAGCAGTGACTGCAGGCAGCACCTGGGAGGGGAGATGAGATGGCTCAGAGCCCAATCGCACTGTCTTCGCGAAAACGAGCAATCCGTCGGGAATTCTCGCACAGCAGCGTGCCTCTCTTCCGTGTTACGAGAACGGCCCGCCAAAGTGGAAGTCACGGAGCTACCTTCAAGTGACCTCTGCTCCGCATGGCAGGAGGCAACACTTTCCCAGCCACTCTGCATACGAGGCTAAAATTAATCGTGACAGTCAAACTTACACATTTTCGGAATAGTAATTTTGCTAAGTAAAGCACAGAACCAAGTAAAATGTTGATGTGTGTCCTAAATACACCACACCCAACACAGCCAATATAGTTGTCATATGAACAATCACAATTGATTTACCGATTCAGAAGCACAGCGGTGTTTTGGATAGTAATCTTCACATTTAATGGCGTTTTTATTTGTGCAGTCATTGGTGACTCGGCTAAGATCTGGACTCAAACCCAGGTTCTAAGGAGTGCTGGCTCAGCGCTCTGACAACTTCATCAGGAAGCCTGGTTTACTGGAGCAGAGCATGCGTGGAGTGGAGCGAGATGAGAGGGGAGAGGTAGGAGAGTGCGTGGAGGGGAGTAGAGTGAGTTGAGAGAGGAGAGGCAGGAGAGTGCGTGGAGGGGAGTAGAGTGAGACGAGAGGGGAGAGCCAGGAGAGTGCATGGAGGGGAGTGGAGTGAGACGAGAGGGGAGAGGCAGGAGAGAACGTGGAGGAGAGTAGAGTGAGACGAGAGGGGAGAGCCAGGAGAGTGCGTGGAGGGGAGTGGAGTGAGATGAGAGGTAGGCTGGAGTGAGTCCAAGGAGGACCTTGAAGGTGGTGATCTTGAAATTGATCCAGAACTGGGATCCAGGTGACAGATGGGGCAGCAGGGAAGAACGAGCGGTCTCCCCCCCACTGAGTGCAGGTCGAGTCATGGCTTCAACAGAGAGTTGCTGGAGTGGAGAGTGCACGGAGACTCACGCTCACCGGTTGACACGCTGACTCACCGAGTAACTCAATGACTTGCACACACACACCAACTGACTGAATGATGGGCAAAACGCCACCCTGCACCAGTGTCCTTGTGCCACCGTGGCGAGATATTAACGACCTCGCCTGGTGTCCAGGTCGCGGGTTCAATCCCGAGCATGACGCCTGCTGTATATTTGGAGTTTGCGGGTCTCTTTCTCCACGTGGTTGCGTGTTATTTTTCTCCGGGTCCTCCGCTTTTTTCCCCTCCACATTTAGAATACAGCATCACGTGTTTAAGAGTATTTGGCTGCCAGTTTAAATTTCCACGTGATGATGATGATGATGAGTCCACTTTCGTTGGGCTATCGTTTCTGATAGGTGGCTTCCGAAAACGAGCTACGCAGCAGCTCAGTGGGGCCTTACACCTGGCAAAATAAAAAATGGTTTATAGTCTCCTTACTCTCGGGTGCGCGACCGCGGGCTGCTGCTGACACCGCCGTCGCCGCCGTCGCCCCCCGAGTGCCGCTGCCGGAGCTGCCGCCCGTCGCGCAGCAGCTTGTCCCGCAGCAGAGTGGCACACCGGCGCTGAGTGAGAGAGAGCGCCGCAGCCAGTACCGCCAATCATCACGTCAACTCCGGCCAGTCTCACGTCGGCGGCGGCGGCAGCAGCGGCAGCGGCTTTTGGCCAGTCGTCGCAACGAAGATGGGTCACTGTGCATCGCGCGGCCCTTTCAGACGCGCTTCTGCGGCCGTCTGGGATGCTCTTCCTATTAGCAAGCCACTGGAAGCTATGGCACTTTTAAGCCATCATCTAGAACGTAAACTAATTTCTTTAGAACTGCTTTTTGTGCTTAGTGTTGTCCTCCCCCCCCCCCGCACCTCTGAATAGCACGGTTGGCTATGCACGGTGCGAAAAAAGTTCAACATACGTACATACATACAGCAACAACTCAATTCCACACTAAGTGGTGGTGACGGCACCACGGCGCTTGTGCCAGGCTATGTGCACTTTAAGGCCAAGTGTAGCAGGAGGTCACGGGACAGATGCATGTGCCATGGGTTGACTGACTGAAACGACTGGCCGATCCACCACCTGTGCTCCCGACGGTACCAACTTGCTATGTTTTATTATGTACATACATACATCTACTACGGCGACACTACCAGGACTATGACTATGATGGTGATGATGGAACGTGTTCACCCTTTACCTATTACAACTCTGATCGTGCCGTTTGTTGTTGGGCCCTTGACGTTTTAGGCTAATGGGCTGGGTTCAGCACCTGCGTAAAACTTCCAATTATGGCGATGATGACGATGTCGATGATGATGGCAACGATCATGAAATTGATGACAACGATGATGACGATTACGATAGTGATGAGGATGATGATGAGGATGATGATTACGATAATGATGACAATGATCATGACAATGACGAAGTCAACGACGGTTGTCCTATGGACAGACTCGCTCCGCCGCCATAGGAACGTGGAATTTCCACCGCTCCCTCTGCAGGCCTGTGAAGGGGAGATGAGTGCCGGGGCCCCGATGCTCACAAACTGTTGCTGCTGCCTGGGACATTTGACACCGGCGCCAAGCGTCCTTTCTCTAAACGAGCCACGCGGCGCCAGGAGCGGTGAAGCGGCGCCACCTCCACCGCACGATCTCTCCCCCGTCGTTGTGCGAGCGCCCAACCTCGGTGTCGCCGGCGCCCTGGGCCTTGAGGCGGCGGCACACGATGGCGACGGCGCTGCTGGCGAACGCCGGCAGGGCCCGGCGCTCGTCGGCGACGTGCAGCGCGTAGTCCTGGCTCAGGCGAGACGCCATCGTGTCCTCGTCCTCAAAATCTACACCCAGCGGGGCCCGAGTCGTGCGGTTAGGAGAAGCAAAGCACACGCGCACACCCGCGCAGCTGCAGCCACCGCACTCGTCAAAATGACAGACGAAAGATCTCTCCGCGCCGTCACGTTAGAGCCGTGTTGTCACGTTTGTAATGCCGGTGCGACCGAGGCTGACCCGAGTTGGTTGGGCGCCGCGGTGGCTAGGAGACGTCGACTATCTTGCCTGGTATACAGGAGCTCGTGGGTGGGTTCGATCCCGGCCCCGACGCCTGTTGTGTGTTTGGAGTTTGCGTGTTCTCCCCGTGGTCGCTGGTAAGCGCGCGACAGGGTCCACAGGCACACGCGCGTGCGTACCGATCTCCCCCTCTCGCGCCCTCGTAGAAAACCACAACGTCGTGCGTCCACCCAGCAGAGAGGGGGATCCCTCACCGAGTTCCTGCCTGGAGAGCGCCGGCTTCTTGCCGGAGCGGCGGCGGCAGCCCGGCGGGGGGGCGGCGGCGGCGTCGTCGGCATCGGCCCGGCAGCGCTGGGAGCGCACGTTGATCCGAGCGACGTTCACCATCTGCAGCGCGCGGTTCTGCGTCTTCAGCTTCTGCCGCACCGGCGTGCGTACCTTACCTTACAGTCGGACAATGTGTGAACGTGCGTACGATGAAGTTATTTCATACCGTACGTAGACAACCATGCTAATTGGAGGTGCAGTGTTGAGTCTATGGGCAGTGTTGAGTCTATGGGTAGTGTTGAGTCTATGGGCAGTGCTGAGTCTATGGGTAGTGTTAGTCTATGGGCAGTGTTGAGTCTATGGGTAGTGTTGAGTCTATGGGCAGTGTTAGTCTATGGGCAGTGTTAAGTCTATGGGCAGTGTTGAGTCTATGGGTAGTGTTAAGTCTATGGGTAGTGTTGAGTCTATGGGTAGTTCATATTCTTAGTTTTTTCGGTAAAGTCACGTTGAAGAGAAACAACAAAATATATATAAAACAATAAAAAATTCTCACGACGTTTCGACCATAACTCAAACGGTCATCATCAGGTGTGTCGGTTTGCATAAATTTATTTTGAAAACGGCATATTTATTTATATATATATAAATAACGTTTGCGTCACGCGCAACGATGGCAGTTTGCCAGGACTAGTCCATCTATTTTTTGAAAAGAGGAGGGGGGAGACGAAATTTGTTTTTATGTATGCTGTCTGAAAGCCACTGTAAGCGTGAACAATCAATCAAGAACTGAAATGATTTATCAAATCTTTCCAATGATTGCTAAGATAGAATCCATCTTCTCGGTTGAAATTGTCTCTGTGTTTGTATATGTGGATAGCCTCATGAACGAATCTCTCATGGAAGCCAGATGGCTTACAAAGAACCTCCGTCTTGGAAAAGTCAATGGCATGTGAGCCTACTGAATTAGAACAATGATCTGCTACGGCCGAGGTGTTGGTCCTACCGTGTTTAAGGTCTGCTTTATGTTCACGAATGCGGTCCGAGATATGGCGTTTGGTTTCTCCAATGTAACTACTACCACAGAGGCAACTTAGTTTGTAGACACCAGGGTATTGTATGTCCGGAATCACATCTTTTACATACGGAACCAGATCACGGATTTTATGTAATGTGTTGAAACGGACCTGGATCTTGTGTTTATTCAAGATTTTGGAGATCTTTTTTGTGATCCCAGCAATGTAGGGTAAAGTGATGGTTTTGAAAGGATCCTCAAGAGGGTTCTTCTTCATGGTTTGAGTGATAGCTTTGCGGATTGTATAGTCGGAGTAACCATTAGCCCTAAGAGCCTGGTGTACGTGCTTGAGTTCACTGCTTATGTGTTCCTGGTCGGATATTCATTGGGCTCTATGATACAGAGTCTTGATGAGAGAATTCTTCTGTGATGGATGGTGGTGGGAATCCGGTTTCAGATAAGCATCCGTATGGGTAGCTTTCCTGTAGACAGAGTGGCTCATTGAACCATCTATGGGTAGTGTTGAGTCTATGGGTAGTGCTGAGTCTATGGGTAGTGTTAGTCTATGGGCAGTGTTGAGTCTATGAGTAGTGTTGAGTCTATGGGCAGTGTTAGTCTATGGGCAGTGTTGAGTCTATGGGCAGTGTTGAGTCTATGGGTAGTGTTAAGTCTATGGGTAGTGTTAGTCTATGGGCAGTGTTGAGTCTATGGGCAGTGTTGGTCTATGGGCAGTGTTGAGTCTATGGGTAGTGTTGAGTCTATGGGTAGTGTTGAGTCTATGGGTAGTGTTGAGTCTATGGGTAGTGTTGAGTCTATGGGTAGTGTTGAGTCTATGGGTAGTGTTGAGTCTGTGGGCAGTGCTGAGTCTGTGGGCAGTGTTGAGTCTATGGGCAGTGTTGAGTCTATGTTTAGTGTTGAGTCTATGGGTAGTGTTAAGTCTATGGGTAGTGTTAGTCTATGGGCAGTGTTGAGTCTATGGGCAGTGTTGGTCTATGGGCAGTGTTGAGTCTATGGGTAGTGTTGAGTCTATGGGTAGTGTTGAGTCTATGGGTAGTGTTGAGTCTATGGGTAGTGTTGAGTCTATGGGTAGTGTTGAGTCTATGGGCAGTATGTATATTGAACTTCTTTCACGCCGTACGTAGCAACCGTGCTAATCGAAGGTGCAGTATGGAGTCGATTGACAGTGCAAGTGTGCGGTGAGACGTGTAGGTACACGTGTGTGGTGCCAGTACATGCGCCGGCACACTTTGAACACCTTGGTACGAATCAACACATGCATCGTGAGCGTGAGAGTCAAGTTTGAATTGACGAATCGATGCATTGTCACCCGCTTGACAACTAACAATACGCGTTACGACAGTTGCTCTCAATCCTGCACGTGGCGTCACTGCAGAAGCTCAAACACGACGGGAAGAGCGAGAAGCCAGGGAGCGGACTCCACCTAGCAGGACAAACGTCCCCAAGAAGAAGCGTTCACCCATCCTAATCAACCGCTGGGTGTACGGCCGCCATGCGGATCTCTCACGCTCATCCTGCTCCTCACCACGCTCAACCGCGCCATGCCCCTCCTCGCACGCGGAGCTGTACAGCTCGGCGAGCATCAGCGCGAGTTCGGCGCTGCCCGGGTCGGAGTGGCCGCCATCGCCTCGCGCGGGAACACCTCCAGCAGCCTCCTCCGCCGCCGCCGCCGCGAGGGACCTGCAAGGGCACGCGAGGCGGAAGTCTGACTCCACGCGTGGACGCACACGGCGCACATGGGTGCGTCACGCAACCTGAAAACACGACGGGACGGCTACGCGTTAAATAATCACAACCGCAAATCAACGCACCGTTATTTACCCGGTTCACCAGTCGCCCATCGCAAACTGCCACTGCTACCAACGCCAACGCCCGCCATTTGGCACGAAGTGACGGTGACGTTACTACGGCACGCGTGCCAGGCCAGGCGTGCTTCGAGGCCACGTGAAAGTGTCGAAAGGCACGCTGCTGACAAGCGGTCACGGAACAGAACCCAGCACCAGCACCGTCTGGCGCGAGATGGCCGGCCACTAACCGGCAAGCCTGCGCCAGTGCCGCACTGGCCCCCGCGAGCTCCGGGTAGCGCTCCTCCACCACGCAAGCGCCACCGCCTCCACCACCGCCCACTGCTTCTCCCGCAAAGAAGTCTGGCAACCCAGGCTCGGGGTCGGTGGCTGAGTCAGAAACACGGACGCGCGAAAGGAAATATCGACGAGAGTATACATTTTATCCCGCACCGACGCACGCGGTTACGCAGATAGAGTCGGACACCGGAAGCGAACTGTGGAATTAGCTCATCATAAACAATATTTTATTTTACCAGGTAAGCGACCCTGGCTATTACAAATGATAGCTAAATGAAAGCGGCTTATCATGTGGAAATTTATAGAAGACAAATACTCTTTAACTCATCATTTTGATTCTAAACATGGAGGGAAAAAACGGAGAAACCGCAGAAAAATCCACGCCGACACAGGGAGAGTGAGAGAGAGGAAGTGGGTGTGAGCCAGCAACACTGGGATCCCGGGTTTGTATCCGGGTTTTCAGCCGCCTCACCACAGTGATTACACCGGGGTATCAAGCGCAGTGAGATGATGGTCTCAGCCCGATCACCGTCGACTATCAGAGAAACCCCACAGACTCGCTTAGGGACGCGAAGACTGAGATAGAGACCCGCAGATTCACACAGACCGACAATGTCAGACCCAGGTGAATTGAAGCTCTGGGTTTCACCAGTTCTTGAGCTGCGATTAAACTGGGTTCTCAATTCTCAATTGAAAATAATTTCTTTAAAACTGCTTTTTGTGTTTCAGTTTGTTGTCCTTCCCCAATACCTCTGATGAGCACGTTTGGCTATATACAGTGTGAAAGAATTTCAACATACATAGACACTGCCCAAAGACTAACACTGCCCATAGACCCAACACTGCCCATAGATTCAACACTGCACCTCCCATTAGCACAGTTGGCTACGTAGTGATGTTTTAAACCTGGTTACTGATGACTGCGCAAAAAAACACAATGTTAAATATAGTTGTAAACTTGAGTAAATTCTCACTCTAAAAATAAATGGTTTTACTGTCATGCTGTCAGTAGCAAGGCAAGTGGGAAAGTGCCGCCCCTGACTGTGCAGACCAGAGATCACTTGGAAGGATCTCAGAGGTAGCTCTGTGATATCCGCTCCTACGGGGCCGCTCTCTAACACGGAGAGTTGCAGAACCCCACGAGAGTTCCAGCCGGGCTCTCCGTCTCGCGACGCGACACCGACAGGACAACTGGGAGTACAGTTGGAGAAAGAGAGACAACAAAAACCATCAAGGTTATCAAAATACCGCCGCTCATACCAGCCGAGAGAAACGTCCTCCAGTCGGGCTGCGAACCGCCGCTCACTCGCTCTAGGCAGCCGAGGAGCGACTCTTCGCCATGGGCGTCAGGCTGGCACTGTGGGGTGGGTGGAACGTCCCACTGCTGCTCCTGCCGCTCCTGCCGCTGGGAGTGTCCGTGCTGCCGGCTAAGCGTGCGGTCGCACCGGATGAGGCAGAGCAGCGCCGCAGTGGGGGTGGCTGGGTAGAGCAGGCCGAGGGCGGGCACAGCGCGCTCCGTCATGAGCACCTCCACCACCTGGGAGACACGACCGATAGGGAGAGAGAGATTCAGCACTCGCTCCGTTCGCTGGCTCGCTCCGTTCGCTGGCTCGCTCCGTTCGCTGGCTCGCTCCGTTCGCTGGCTCGCTCCGTTCGCTGGCTCGCTCCGTTCGCTGGCTCGCTCCGTTCGCTGGCTCGCTCCGTTCGCTGGCTCGCTCCGTTCGCTGGCTCGCTCCGTTCGCTGACTCGCTCCGTTCGCTGGCTCGCTGGCTCGCTGGCTCCGTTCACTGGCTCACTCGCTCCATTCACTGGCTCACTCGCTCCATTCACTGGCTCACTCGCTCCGTTCACTGGCTCACTCGCTCCGTTCACTGGCTCACTCGCTCCGTTCACTGGCTCACTCGCTCCGTCCACTCGCTCGCTCCGTTCACTGGCTCGCTCGCTCCGTTAACTGGCTCAAATGCAATTACTCAAAGGACCAATTCCTTATCTGGAGTGCTAGATACAATGATGTATCATTAAATGGTGATGCATACAGGCAGTCCCCGGGTTACGGAAGACCCGACTTACTGAAATCCGACTTTACGGAAATGCTCCCATAAATCAGGTAAAAAAATCTATATTCAATACTGTATGCGTAAATGTTTGCGTTAGATACGTAAGCGCATCTAGTGCAGCGTGGTGAGGTTGCGGATGAATACAGCGGAGCGAAGCGAGGCGTAAGGCGGGGCCGCATATTACCCAAGGCGGCGGTGAACTGTATAGCACTCTAAGTCACGCTGTTACGTTGTTACCGTGAGTATGCTGGATCCGCCACAGCGTCTCTTTTCCTTTTGTAGCATTACATATGTGTTTGTTTTCTATGCTTCGTGGTATGTATAAACAATTAGACACAGTATATGTTCCATTAGTTTAATTATGGGTAGTATGAGGGTAGATATTCGATCAAATTAATGAATCCTAGGAAGTGCAGATCGCATGTACAGCGTTACGATACAGGTAGCGATACATTACTGAAATAAAACAGAGGAGGCAAAACTATTTCCAGATATCGCTTTCTATCTTGATTTTTGGGGGAAGTTGTTCAGTTTCCAAAATGCAGACAATTCGGGTTATGGATATTTCTTGGGAACCTAACACTTCCGTAACCTGGGGATTGCCTGTATATGTATGTAGAACTTCTCTCGTACCGTACGTAGCCAACCGTGCTAATCAGAGGTGCAGTGTTGAGTCTATGAGTAGTGTTAGTCTATGGGCAGTATGCATGTATTGTTGAACTTGTTTCACACAGTACGTAGCCAACCGTTCTAATCGGAAGTGCGGGGTAAGGACAACAAGCTAAACACAAAAAAGCAGAGTTTGTCAATCTAGACGATTTAAAAGTGCATATCTCCAATGGCTTCCTAATATAGGAAGAGCATTCCAGATGGCCGCAGAAGCGCATCTGAAAATGCGCGATGCGGTAACCGTCTTTGCTCGACGGCCAGCCAAACCTGCTTGCTGCTACGAGGATGACCGGAATTTCCGCGATGATGCACAATGACAAAGCGACGATGACGGTGACGATGTAAGCGCGTGTCAGCACTCACCAGGAGTAAATCCAGCGAGGCGAGAGTTCTCATCGTCTTGGGGAAGCTGAACTCCTCCCGAGACGCCACGTCCCCCGTCGAAGCGCCGGCGGCGTCGGCATCGGCACTACTCTCCCCGTCAGGGCACGCCACCCAGGCTTGTGCCACGCCCAGGCCGCCCCCGGCCAGCGACGGCCGCTCCACAGTCCCACGCAAGAGCAGGCGGACGGGCGATGGGGGCGACGACGCGGCACCGGCAGTGGCGAGCACCAAGGACAGGCTGCAGCAAAGGCGGTCGGCACCGGCGGCTGTGGTGGACACAAGGAGAAGTTTTGTCTCTCTCTTGCTCTCTCTCTCTCTCTACCGCTAACGAGAAGCACAGCTGGCTCGGTGTGTGTGTTAAGGGTAGGAGTGGAAAGATGCATCGATGTATATGGACCTTCCTTTTTCAATACAGTCGTACTTTGCCCCCAAAGGTGTTTTATCGACCACGTGCGTCAGCTGTACACGTTTTACTTTATGACGTACGTTTTCCGGCACTGTGGGGTGATGTTTCGGCTATTCGTGGTTTGACACTGCTAACATTCTCATTTCTGCATCGACAAGTAGTGTGCGGTCCGCTCGTACTTTTGATGCTGCAGATGAATATATTTCGTAATCTTTCATGAAAGTATTGTTAACCTGCAACCCGAGTAACCTGCCCAAAGATAAATCAAAAGTTGTGGTTGTCACCTGATGAGGCTGGTTGTAATTACCAACAAAACGTAGTACTCTAATTGTGACTTTACTCTCCAACACACCGGTGTGCTGAACTAGTAACGAATTGGTATGTTTTGTTTACATGATAAACCTTATTAATTGGCTGTGTCGGGTGGTGGCGGGTTTAACGACACATTTATATTTACGCGATCTAACCCAAAAAACCTCTATTATGGATGATATTGCTCGCGAAAGCCTCCTACTACTACTATGTGTTAAACAAATCAAAGTTAACAGCAAACACGACTCCCGGGTCTGGTTACCATCTCTGACGACGAGCGGCACCAGCGGTGCAGCAGCCGGCGTGGCGAGGCAACCCCCCTTGGCGAGGTAGTGACCCAGCAGCGCCGGCGCAGGGAAGGTTGCGTCCGCCGTGAGCCACCGTCGCCACAGCTCCTTGCCGGCGCTCCCACCGGCACCCTTCCGCGGCAGCCGGTTCGGCACCAGCTCCGTCTCCGCGCCGTCCTGGTGGTGCCCGTCACCCGCTAGCAGCAGCAGGGCTTCCAGCGGGATGAGGCTGCCGCTTGGGCTCAGGGCTTCTGCCACCATTGCCGCACCATCGCGGTCCGGGCTGCCAAGCACCTGCAAAGGGGTAACAAATGTATACGAGTCGTGGAAACGTTTACACGATTCTCGAGTCAACAAACGCCATAAAACAGCGATTCCAACAACAATCACGTTTAACTGTGTGTTTTACCAACATTGAGAATTAAGTAGTACTTCTGGTATTCAGAAGCGCTTGCAATTACTGTTCAGTACGTTCATCGGGCTCTGGCCTGACGTGGAGCTGCACGTACAGTGAGGGAAAAAAATGTTTGATCCCCTGCTGATTTTGTACGTTTGCCCACTGACAAAGAAATGATCAGTCTATAATTTTAATGGTAGGTTTATTTGAACAGTGAGAGACAGAATAACAAAAAAAACCCAGAAAAACGCATGTCAAAAATGTTATAAATTGATTTGCATTTAAATGAGGGAAATAAGTATTTGACCCCCTCTCAATCAGAAAGATTTCTGGCTACAGGTGTCTTTTATACAGGAAATGAGCTGAGATTAGGAGCACACTCTTAAAGGGAGTGCTCCTAATCTCAGCTTGTTACCTGTATAAAAGACACCTGTCCACAGAAGCAATCAACCAATCAGATTCCAAACTCTCCACAATGGCCAAGACCAAAGAGCTCTCCAAGGATGTCAGGGACAAGATTGTAGACCTACACAAGGCTGGAATGGGCTACAAGGCGATTGCCAAGCAGCTTGGTGAGAAGGTGACAACAGTTGGTGCGATTATTCGCAAATGGAAGAAACACAAAAGAACTGTCAATCTCCCTCGGCCTGGGGCTCCATGCAAGATCTCACCTCGTGGACTTGCAATGATCATGAAAACGGTGAGGAATCAGCCCAGAACTACACGGGAGGATCTTGTCAATGGTCTCAAGGCAGCTGGGACCATAGTCACAAAAAAAACAATTGGTAACACACTACGCCATGAAGGACTGAAATCCTGTAAGCCCACAAGGTCCCCCTGCTCAAGAAAGCACGTATAAATGCCCGTCTGAAGTTTGCCAATGAACATCTGAATGATTCAGAGGACAAATGGGTGAAAGTGTTGTGGTCAGATGAGACCAAAATGGAGCTCTTTGGCATCAACTCAACTCGCCGTGTTTGGAGGAGGAGGAATGCTGCCTATGACATCAAGAACACCATCCCCACCGTCAAACACGGAGGTGGAAACATTATGCTTTGGGGGTGTTTTTCTGCTGAGGGGACAGGACAACTTCACCGCATCAAAGGGACGATGGACGGGGCCATGTACCGTCAAATCTTGGGTGAGAACCTTCTTCCCTCAGCCAGGGCATTGAGAATGGTTTGTGTATGGGTATTCCAGCATGACAATGACCCAAAACACACGGCCAAGGCAACAAAGGAGTGGCTCAAGAAGAAGCACATTAAGGTCCTGGAGTGGCCTAGCCAGTCTCCAGACCTGAATCCCATAGAAAATCTGTGGAGGGAGCTAAACGTTCGAGTTGCCAAACGTCAGCCTCGAAACCTTAATGACTTGGAGAAGATCTGCAAAGAGGAGTGGGACAAAATCCCTCCTGATATGTGTGCAAACCTGGTGGCCAACTACAAGAAACGTCTGACCTCTGTGATTGCCAACAAGGGTTTTGCCACCAAGTACTAAGTCATGTTTTGCAGAGGGGTCAAATACTTATTTCCCTCATTAAAATGCAAATCAATTTATAACATTTTTGACATGCTTTTTTCTGGATTTTTTTGTCGTTATTCTGTCTCTCACTGTTCAAATAAACCTACCATTAAAATTATAGACTGATCAGTACAAAATCAGCAGGGGATCAAATACTTTTTTCCCTCACTGTACATCCTTTTATTTGTTTTTATTCTGGCAGAGAAGCCCTCATCCAGCAGTGGAGTTACATAATTTCGAAACGGTGGCACGGTGACTGAAACAACACTTTTCAAGGTAGCCACTACACCGATATATCCTGGCCACCGGGTGTCTCGCACACACTGGCTTAAGGGTTCGCCACCCGGCCCAGCCGACGGTGCTGGTTGGGGTTTTCGCACCTCCGCCAGAGTCGTGGTGTCTATCCAGTGCAGCCTGATGCTTCCGCTCGTGGCCAGGAGGCTCCCGAGGGCTGTTCGAGCCTCGGCCCCGGGCCCCAGGAAGGCGGCGAGCGCCTCGCGGCTTTGCGGACACGGCGCGAGCAGCAGAAGAAGATTCGTGGCCTCGCCCGACTCCTCTTCGTCGTCGTCGCCCTGGGCGGAGGCCCCCCCGTCTCGCCTCTGCCCGTTCGCTCTCCTCTTCGCCGCTGTCTTCACAGGCGAAGCGATGAAAGGTCGGTCCCACGGGAAGCCGAGCAGTGCCTCTCGCAGCGCGGCACGGAGGGGCCCGATCCCACCGAACGGAACTTTCCCAGCCGGGTCGCCGGCAGCGTAGGAGCCACGGGCGCAGCCTCTACCACTGCGGCCCTCAGCAACATCATTCGTGGCACAGTCTCCAGTGGGCCCACCCACACCACCAGCCGCACCGTCGCCACTGCCAAAACAAACTCTACAGCCTCTAGCATTCCCGCCGTCTCTTGTGGCTCCTTCACCAACGCCACAAACACTACAAACTTCACCACCAACCCCGCCATAAGCACTGCCCAAAGCGTTCGCAGCAGCCTCAATGGCACCTCCATCAACGCCGTCGCCAACGTCTCGGCCAACAGCACCAAGCCCTCCATTCCCACCGCCTCCACCATTCCCACCGCCTCCACCATTCCCACCGCCTCCACCATTCCCACCGCCTCCACCATTCCCACCGCCTCCACCATTCCCACCGCTCCCACCGCCACCTCCATCACCGCCTCCACCATTCCCACCGCTCCCACCGCCACCTCCATCACCGCCTCCACCATTCCCACAGCTCCCACCGCCACCTCCATCACCGCCTCCACCATTCCCACAGCTCCCACCGCCACCTCCATCACCGCCTCCACCAGTCCCGCGGCTCAGCGCGCCCAGCTCCGCGTCCAACGCTTCCAACGCGCGGCTGCTCACGTCTCTGAACTCCCGGACGCGGCACGCGACAAGAGAAGCAGCGGCAGCTGAAGACGCCGAGGAGGCCGAGGCGGCTGAGGAGGCAGCCGAGTGCTGCGGCGCGCTCAGGCCCCAGCTCACGGCGTCCGACCCAAGTCGGCGGCGCAGCGCTCCCAGCAGCCGCGGCGCTGCGGTGCGCGCGGCCTCCGCGGAGGACGCGGCCTCCACCACGAACACCAGCTGATGGTGCGCCGCCATCCCTTGTGTACTTGTTGTGTTTGGTTGTTGTTTGTTTGTTGTGTTTGTTGTTGTTGTTGTTTGTTGTTGTTGTCACCGCGCGGCGAGAATTTGTCGTACGGTGGCCATCTTGGTCCCGTTTGAACCTCCTCCCGACAGCCACCGCGCGCGCGCGCCACTGCGGGAGGTGACGTCACGTGCAGCAAAGCAGGGGAATGACGTCAAAAACCGGTCTGGGAGAGTGACGTCACGGCGCGTGCAGGGTGACGTCACACTACCGGCTGCAAGCACCAAACGCCGTTGTTGACAAAGACCGTGACGTCAAACGTCGCCACGCGGTGAGCTCGCGCCGCGCTAACGACGCTGCCACCGCTCCGCATGTGACGACAGCGCTTGTGTGCCAGGCTAGGTGCACTTTGAGGTCGTCACGTGGAAGTGTATTATTCGACTCCGGGACAGACCCAGGTGTGATGGGTTGACTGCTGGAGGCACGGCAGTCAGCCCCTAGTGGACGAACCTCACCTGTTGTGCCAGGCTAGGTGCAGGTCGAGGCAGATGTTAACTACCTCGCCTGGTATGAAGGAGGTCGTGGGTCCGATCCCGATCCTGACGCCTGCTGCTGCTGTATATTTTTTTCTCCCGGTCCTCAGGTTTTCCCCTCCGCATTTAGAATGAACATCACGCCTTTAATAAATGTCCACGTGATGATGATGATAAGCCACTTCGTTGAGCTGGCATCTGCAAGCGATGGATTCTTCAGCGGTGGGACACGTTTGGGCCAATACTGCCACTGACTTGCAGTGGCGAAATGTGAACTCCCTCGCCTGGTATGCAGGACGTCGTGTGTGCTCCGTCCCACCCTGACGCCTGCTGCTGCTGCTGTATATTTGTAGTTTGTGTCTCTCTCTCTCTCCCCGTGGTCGCGTGGACTCTTCTCCGTGTTCCGCTTTTTCAACGGTTTTACTTCATCTTGATTCCGCTGTCTGTCTGGGTCAAATCTTGTAATCAAAATTTCGTCCACTTCCCGTTGTCCAATCAATTCCACATTTTGCACGCGTACTCAGATCAGGTGACAATGCGTGCCTGCAGCAAAATCGGCATTCATCAATTAATTCGCTACTTTAAAGCAATTCACATTTTGTATGGACGCCTTATTATTTATATATATTTGCGTGTAGGTCAAAAACGCCGCGGTCCCTTCCCTGTGGAATCGCCTCTCACAAGAAGCAGGCACCACGTGTCTCAGGCACCAATGACGCGAAGTTGTTAATGAAACCTTTGGTTAAGACAAATTTTAACGAGTTTATTCCCTCCACATTTAGAAATAATGTCACGCGTTTTGGAGTATTCGGCTGCTCCTATAAATGTCCACGTGATGATGATGATGAAGATGATGATGAACCCACTTCATTATGACAGCCGAGTCGCTTATGAAAAAGTTTTACAGCTCCCTGGGGCTTACCTGAAAAACACATTTATATTTACACGATTTAACAAACTAAAAAAACCGATGCGTTGTCTGGCTGAGTCAATGTAGTAAGTTTATAATGTCAGCAGAGGGCAGTAGAGTTAAATTATATTGTCTTATACTGTAACTATGCTCCAACGTTACCCGCCATCCTGACCAGGATGGTGAAGTATGGCCAAAATCACCTCACGGTGTGCGCAGACCCACAACCGGCAATGTTATAGCTGGCAGATGCAGTTCCATGGCCACCATCAATCGCCCATCGATCAACAACCACCACAATCAGCACCGATACCGCCTCATGAACATTATCGCCTAAACCACAACCACTAACAACCATAATCACCACCAACGGCCATTCACAATCGTGCAATCATCTGCATGAGACCAACATCATCCACCCATTGATCATCATCACCATCCAATAATCATCACCATCCAATAATCACCATCCAATAATCATCACCATCCAATAATCATCACCATCACGCACCCTCACCATGAGCACCATCATTCTCGGGAATATTTATGGTGGAGGAATCCGATGAGCTATAAAGCTCTTTTTCGCAGATGTCCACCATCATCATCCACCTTCATAATGCCACCAACATCTCACAATCGCCATCAGTTGATGGTGGTGCGATGGAGATGACTGGATGATGTGATGGTGATGATGACCATCACCACCACCATCACTACCTCCCATCACCACCATCATCACTACCTCCCATCACCACGATCACTACCTCCATCACCACTATCACTACCTCCCATCACCACCATCACCACCACCATCACTACCTCCCATCACCACCACCATCACCACCATCACTACCTCCCATCACCACCACCATCACTACCTCCCATCACCACCACCATCACTACCTCCCATCACCACGATCACTACCTCCATCACCACTATCACTACCTCCCATCACCACCATCACCACCACCATCACCACCATCACTACCTCCCATCACCACCACCATCACTACCTCCCATCACCACCACCATCACTACCTCCCATCACCACGATCACTACCTCCATCACCACTATCACTACCTCCCATCACCACCACCATCACTACCTCCCATCACCACCACCATCACTACCTCCCATCACCACGATCACTACCTCCATCACCACCATCACTACCTCCCATCACCACCACCATCACTACCTCCCATCACCACCACCATCACTACCTCCCATCACAACCACCACCATCACCATCACTACCTCCCATCACCACCATCACTACCTCCCATCACCACCACCAACACCACCATCACTACCTCCCATCACCACCATCACTACCTCCCATCACCACCACCATCACTACCTCCCATCACCACCACCATCACTACCTCCCATCACCACCATCACCACCATCACCACCACCATCACTACCTCCCATCATCACCATCATCACCACCATCACCATCACTACCTCCCATCACCACCATCACTACCTCCCATCACCACCATCACTACCTCCCATCACCACCATCACTACCTCCCATCACTACCTCCCATCACCACCATCACTACCACCATAATCACCACCATCACTACCTCCCATCACCACCACCATCACTACCTCCCATCACCACCATCACTACCACCATCACTACCTCCCATCACCATCACCACCACCATCACTACCTCCCATCACCACCACCATCACTACCTCCCATCACCACCACCATCACTACCTCCCATCACCACCATCACTACCACCCATCATCACCACCACCATCACCACCACCATCACTACCTCCCATCACCACCACCATCACTACCTCCCATCACCACCACCATCACTACCTCCCATCATCACCACCACCATCACCACCACCATCACTACCTCCCATCACCACCACCATCACTACCTCCCATCACCACCATCACTACCACCATCACTACCTCCCATCACCACCACCATCACTACCTCCCATCACCACCATCATCACTACCTCCCATCACCACCATCACCACCATCACTACCACCATCACTACCTCCCATCACTCCCTCCCATCATCTCCACCATCACCACCACCATCACTACCTCCCATCACCACCATCATCACCATCACCACCACCATCACCACCTCCCATCACCACCACCATCACTACCTCCCATCACCACCATCATCACCATCACCACCACCATCACTACCTCCCATCACCACCATCACTACCACCATCACTACCTCCCATCACCACCATCACTACCACCATCACCATCACTACCTCCCATCACCACCATCACTACCTCCCATCACCACCATCACTACCTCCCATCACTACCTCCCATCACCACCATCACCACCATCACCACCACCATCACTACCTCCCATCACCACCATCATCACCATCACCACCACCATCACCACCTCCCATCACCACCACCATCACTACCTCCCATCACCACCATCATCACCATCACCACCACCATCACTACCTCCCATCACCACCATCACTACCACCATCACTACCTCCCATCACCACCATCACTACCACCATCACCATCACTACCTCCCATCACCACCATCACTACCTCCCATCACCACCATCACTACCTCCCATCACTACCTCCCATCACCACCATCACCACCACCATCACTACCTCCCATCACCACCATCATCACCATCACCACCACCATCACCACCTCCCATCACCACCACCATCACTACCTCCCATCACCACCATCATCACCATCACCACCACCATCACTACCTCCCATCACCACCATCACTACCACCATCACTACCTCCCATCACCACCATCACTACCTCCCATCACCACCATCACTACCTCCCATCACCACCATCACTACCTCCCATCACTACCTCCCATCACCACCATCACCACCACCATCACTACCTCCCATCACCACCATCACTACCTCCCATCACCACCATCACCACCATCATCACTGCCTCCCATCACCACCATCACTACCTCCCATCACGACTATCACCACCACCATCACTACCTCCCATCACCACCACCATCACTACCTCCCATCACCACCACCATCACTACCTCCCATCACCACCATCGCCCGTGAGCGCCGCCTACCCAGCACCCACGCCGCCGCTTTGCGCCATCGCCAAACAGCAGCAGCAGCAGCTCGTCCCCTTCACCTTCCACAGGGGTCCCCTAAACCTCCCACAGGGGTCCCCTTCACCTCCCACAGGGGTCCCCTTCTAGGGTTGAGCGAGCGGCCGGGGACATCTCCGGGGACCGAGGGACCCCACGGGGACCCCACGGGGCCCCCAGCCAGAGGCGCGGCGGCTGCGCGAGAACCGCGGGTCCCGGCGACTCCGACACGTGTCGTGGTGTCCTACAGTCTCGCCGGGTGAGTGGCGGGGTGAGTGTGCAGGGTGAGTGGAGGGGTGTCAGTGGTGAGGTGTGTGTGTGTGAGGTGTGTGTGTGGTGAATGGAGGGTGTGTGGTGAGTGGAGGGTGTGTGGTGAGTGGTGTGTGGTGAATGGAGGGTGTGTGGTGAGTGGCGGGGTGTCAGTGGTGAGTGGTGAGGAGTGGTGTGTGTGGTGAGTGGAGGGTGCGTGGTGAGGTGTGTGTGTGTGGTGAATGGTGTGATGAATGGAGGGTGTGTGGTGAGTAGAGGGTGTGTGTGTGGTGAGGTGGGTGTGTGGTGAGGTGTGTGTGATGAATGGTGTGGTGAATGGAGGGTGTGTGGTGAGTGGAGGGTGTGTGGTGAGGTGTGTGTGTGGTGAGGTGGGTGAGTGGTGAGTGGAGGGTGTGTGGTGAATGGAGGGTGTGTGGTGAGTGGTGTGTGTGGTGAGGTGTGTGTGGTGAGTGGAGTGTGTGGTGAGTGGAGTGTGTGGTGAGTGGAGGGTGTGTGGTGAGGTGTGTGGTGAGGTGTGTGTGTGTGGTGAGTGCTGTGGTGAATGGAGGGTGTGTGGTGAGTGGAGGGTGTGTGGTGAGTGGGGTGTGTGTGGTGAGTGGTGTGCGTGGTAAGGTGTGTGTGTGGTGAGTAGTGTGGTGAATGGAGGGTGTGTGGTGAGTGGTGTGTGTGGTGAGTGGTGTGTGTGGTGAGTGGTGTGTGTGTGGTGAGGTGTGTGTGGTGAGGTGTGTGTGTGTGGTGAGTGGTGTGTGTGTGGTGAGTGGTGTGTGTGCCGTGTGTGGCGTGTGTTATGTGGTATATTGTGTGTTATGTGTGTTATGTGGTATATTGTGTGTGGTGTTGTGTGTTATGTGGTATATTGTGTGTGGTGTTGTGTGTTATGTGGTATATTGTGTGTGTTATGTGTGTGTAGTGTGTGTGTGGTGTTGTGTGTGTGTTGTGGTATATTGTGTGTGGTGTTGTGTGTGTTATGTGGTATATTGTGTGGTGTTGTGTGTGTTGTGTGGTATATTGTGTGTGGTGTTGTGTGTGTTGTGTGGTATATTGTGTGTGGTGTGTTGTGTGGTATATTGTGTGTGGTATGTTGTGTGTGTTGTGTGTGTTGTGTGGTATATTGTGTGTGGTGTTGTGTGTGTTGTGTGTGTTGTGTGGTATATTGTGTGTGTGTTGTGTGTGTTGTGTGGTATATTGTATGTGTGGTGTTGTGTGTGTTGTGTTGTATATTGTGTGTGGTGTTGTGGTTGTTGTGTGTTGCATGTGGTGAGCGGTGGTACAGCGGTTAGCGCGCTGCGCTACGGCCAACACCGGTGACGATTATCTAAACCGGTTCTGGGCCTCTCCTAGGTAGACTCAGCCTCAAATGAGTAACCTGGTGTTTGAACACCGCCACTGGGGAGACAAAGGCGGCCGGGCGTGGCGCTGGCCACCCACCCCCTCGTGTGCCGTACACACACAGTAACACCACACACACACAGTAACACCACACAGTAACACCACACACACACAGTAACACCACACACAGTAACACCACACACACAGTAACACCACACACACAGTAACACCACACACACACAGTAACGCCACACACAGTAACACCACACACACAGTAACACCATACACACACAGTAACACCACACACACAGTAACACCACACACACAGTAACACTACACACACACAGTAACACTACACACACACAGTAACACTACACACACACAGTGACACCACACACAGTAACACCACACACACAGTAACACCACACACAGTAACACCACACACACAGTAACACCACACACAGTAACACCACACACACAGTAACACCACACACACACAGAGTAACACCACACACACACAGAGTAACACCACACACAGTAACACCACACACAGTAACACCACACACACACACAGTAACACCACACACAGTAACACCACACACAGTAACACCACACACACACAGTAACACCACACACACAGTAACACTACACACACACAGTAACACCACACACAGTAACACCACACACAGTAACACCACACACACACAGTAACACCACACACAGTAACACCACACACAGTAACACCACACACAGTAACACCACACACACAGTAACACCACACACAGTAACACCACACACACAGTAACACCACACACACAGTAACACCACACACAGTAACACCACACACAGTAACACCACACACACAGTAACACCACACACAGTAACACCACACACACAGTAACACTACACACACACAGTAACACCACACACAGGAACACCACACACACAGTAACACCACACACACAGTAACACCACACACACAGTAACACCACACACACAGTAACACTACACACACAGTAACACCACACACACACAGTAACACCACACACACAGTAACACCACACACACAGTAACACCACACACACACAGTAACACCACACACACAGTAACACCACACACACAGTAACACTACACACACACAGTAACACCACACACAGTAACACCACACACACAGTAACACCACACACACACAGTAACAACACACACACAGTAACACCACACACAGTAACACCACACACACAGTAACACCACACACACACAGTAACACCACACACAGTAACACCACACACAGTAACACCACACACACACAGTAACACCACACACAGTAACACCACACACACAGTAACACCACACACACACAGTAACACCACACACACACACAGTAACACCACACAGTAACACCACACAGTAACACCACACAGTAACACCACACACACAGTAACACCACACACACACGCAGCTATTCACACTCGAAGCCTACAGCCAGCAGTGGTGGTGGTAGCAGCAGCAGCAGCACAGCACAACAGTAGCACAGCAGCAGCACAGCAGCAGCACAGCAGCACAGCAGCAGCACAGCACAACAGTAGCACAGCAGCAGCACAGCAGCAGCGCAGCAGCAGCACAGCATCAGCAGCACAGCACAACAGCAGCACAGCAGCAGCACAGCAGCAGCAGCACAGCAGCAGCAGCACAGCAGCAGCACAGCATCAGCAGCACAGCAGCAGCACAGCAGCAGCAGCACAGCAGTAGCACAGCAGCAGCAGCATAGCAGCAGCACAGCAGCAGCACAGCAGCTCAGCAGCAGCACAGCAGCACAGCAGCAGCACAGCAGCAGCACAGTAGCATAGCAGCAGCAGCACAACAGTAGCACAGCAGCAGCAGCACAGCAGTAGCACAGCAGCAGCAGCACAGCAGTAGCACAGCAGCAGCACAGCAGCACAGCAGCAGCACAGCAGTAGCACAGCAGCACAGCAGCAGCACAGTAGCAGCACAGTAGCATAGCAGCAGCAGCAGCACAACAGTAGCACAGCAGCAGCACAGCAGCAGCAGCACAGCAGCAGCACAGCAGCAGCACAGCAGTAGCACAGCAGCACAGCAGCAGCACAGTAGCATAGCAGCAGCACAACAGCAGCACAGCAGCACAGCAGCAGCACAGCAGTAGCACTACTCGCATAGCCCCCTGGCGTAATGGGGTCGTGATGATGATTTAGTGGTATGATGATGGTGGTGGTGATGACTTCGTGGTATGATGATGATGGTGGTGGTGATTTAGTGGTATGATGATGGTGGTGGTGATGATTTAGTGGTATGATGGTAGTGATGATTTAGTGGTATGATTATGGTGGTGGTGATGATTTAGTGGTATGATTATGGTGGTGGTGATGATTTAGTGGTATGACGATGGTGGTGGTGATGATTTAGTGGTATGATGATGGTGGTGGTGATGATTTAGTGCTATGATGATGGTGGTGATGATTTAGTGGTATGATCATGATGGTGGTGGTGATGATTTAGTGGTATGATGATGGTGGTATGGTGATGATTTAGTGGTATGAATATGGTGGTGGTGATTTAGTGGTATGATGATGGTGGTGATGATTTAGTGGTATGATTATGGTGGTGATGATTTAGTGGTATGATGGTGGTGGTGATGATTTAGTGGTATGATTATGGTGGTGGTGATGATTTAGCGGTATGATGTTGGTGGTGCTGATGATTTAGTGGTATGCTGGTGGTGATGATTTAGTGGTATGATGATGGTGGTGATGATTTAGTGGTATGATGATGGTAGTGGTGATGATTTAGTGGTATGATGATTATGGTGGTGGTGATGATTTAGTGGTATGATGATGATGGTGGTGGTGATGATTTAGTGGTATGATGGTGGTGATGATTTAGTGGTATGGTGGTGATGATTTAGTGGTATGATGATGGTGGTGGTGATGATTTAGTGGTATGATGGTGATGATTTGGTGGTATGATGGTGGTGATGATTTAGTGGTATGATGATGATGGTGGTGGTGATGATTTAGTGGTATGATGTGGTGGTGGTGATGATTTAGTGGTATGATTATGGTAGTGGTGATGATTTAGTGGTATGATGATTATGGTGGTGGTGATGATTTAGTGGTATGATGATGATGGTGGTGGTGATGATTTAGTGGTATGATGGTGGTGATGATTTAGTGGTATGGTGGTGATGATTTAGTGGTATGATGATGATGGTGGTGATGATTTAGTGGTATGATGGGGATGATTTGGTGGTATGATGATGGTGGTGATGATTTAGTGGTATGATGATGATGGTGGTGGTGATGATTTAGTGGTATGATGGTGGTGATGATTTAGTGGTATAGTGGTGATGATTTAGTGGTATGATGATGGTGGTGGTGATTTAGTGGTATGATGGTGATGATTTGGTAGTATGATGTTGGTGATGATGATTTAGTGGTATGATGATGATGGTGGTGGTCATGATTTAGTGGTATGATGTGGTGGTGGTGATGATTTAGTGGTATGATTATGGTAGTGGTGATGATTTAGTGGTATGATGATGATTATGGTGGTAGTGATGATTTAGTGGTATGATGATGGTGGTGGTGATGATTTAGTGGTATGATGGTGGTGATGATTTAGTGGTATGGTGGTGATGATTTAGTG